CTAATGATGAATAATATTGAAGATCCCAATGTTATGTCAATTTATGTTTGGTGTAAATGTAGTTTTGCTCCAAATGATTTTTTGTAGAATATATATCAATTACCATCAATTTTGGGTTAAGGAATCTAAATCAGAGATATATTTATCATAACCAAGAAAATATAATTTCTTGGATTTTTACATGTTTAAAGATATATAAAGTTAATTAAATATTTTCATAAGTCACCTAATACATGTATAACAAATAATAATAAATAATCAATAGCCCTATAAATAGATAAATTTCAATTAATCAATAAAATAAATTTGTTAAAAAATGAGCACATACCTTTTTTGTTTGTTTTTGTTTATTTGTTTTTGTTTTAATTTTTTGTTTTGATCCATTTGGTTTTGGTTTAGTTTTTTTGTTTTGTAATAAGACTTTACAAGCACAACTGGGTTTATATACTTTTAAAATTGTAGATTTGCCAGTTCTTAGAAGTCATTAATTTTTTTTAAAACTTAGAGTGGGAAATTTAGTACCGTGCGCAAAATAATCAATTATAATGCCTCTTCATTTGTTATTTATTGCATTGAAGTGGTATTGTAAAAATCATGGGTCGTGTATCTGCCATCAAGTAGAGTAGCCTTGCGATTACACAGACCCAGAGTGTTATATTGTTTAAAATAGTCTTTCAACAGTAACAATTGAATAATAGAACAATTATATATTATAATTGTAAGTCCGTACCAAGTCAGCAATAATTCTCATGAATATGTATATAGGCTATAAGCCACACGTAGCCAGTGAGGATGGATGAGTTACCTTAATAATACATGGGAGATGTAGCCTCTTGTAGCTAGAAGGTAGTATATTTGCCACTTCTTGGACGTCGATTATTTGTTACAACTTGACTTTGAGATAGGAAATTAAGTAGCGTGTGCAAAATTCAAATTTTTCCTCTGAGAATACTTATCAAAGACAACGTATTGATCAATGTATCCTTTATAAAATTACAGAAATTTTCCCCTGAATTTCGACGAAATCTAATCAGTTCTGAGAAATAAAACCAGCAGTGCATTGAGCATTAAAAATTACAAGCATTTCATTGTGAGCTCTGCAGAATGATTACATCATTGACCTTTGGTAGATTCTAATTTTGTTTGGCGAAGAGTGTATGAATTAAATAAAAAAGGAGCTAATACTGTACTCCTACTTAATTTGGCGCTACTTATTTTGGTGAATTTGCTGTTTTGAACATTTAGAGGCTACTTAATTTGGCAGACTTGCAATATTTCAATTTACTAATGGTATTTATTTACAGGGCACTAAAATTACCAGGGGATTTGGCAGCTACCTAATTTGGCAGACTTCAACAATTTGGTGGATCTGCCAAATTAAAACGTCTGCCAAATTAAGTAGAAGTACAGTAATGCTTCTCTTCTGAGTCCTCTAAAATTTATTTACCTAATTAGACAATCAGATAATAAATTGCCTAAAATCGATAGTTCTGCACTCAAGCAATACCATTTTAACATTATTGTTTTCAAATTGTCTTACATTCTTAATATCTAAAAAATGTGTAGATATTTTAAGTTTAAAGGGTTCCGATTAGCATCCCGTATAAAAACAATATGGCGGCTCAAGGCGAATCAACTGGATCAGTCCATTTTAAAGTAATCCGTTTATAATGATTTTGAAAACGTTATCCAAAGAGTGATTGCGTTCAAATAATACATGTACAACAGCCAATATAAATTCTTGTATTAGAAACCGGTTTGTCTTGCTTTGTTACATTTGTAGGATATTTCGTATGCCAAGCTGTGTGCTATTACGTTATTGGGAATTTTAGATGCCAATTTTTCCTTATTATACACAAATAGAAGATCCTGAAACTTCACCCATAAATGTGGAATTGATTTGTCAAAATAAAAATCACCCTTTTATAAATGTGTGACGATCTATAATATACTTATGCTATATAACAGTTAGAGGTGTTGACACAACGACCTCGAACCTGTGAACCCTTGAGTATTATTCCGGGATCAACACCAGAAACGAGCGTTCGATTTGCTAAACGATATGCGTCACCCTTTAAGAACCCCTAGCTATTCTCACTATTGAAAATGGATTCTAGCAATACTATCCCACATGAATGTACTTGTTGAGAGTCCATTTTCAGTTGTAAGTATAGGGGTTTCAGGACATTGGGCCTGCTTTTCAGAACTTTTTGTTAGTACTAAAGGGAAGTTTTGTAAATCCCAGTTTATTGAAATTGTCTTGGAGATAAAGTAATCCGTTTACAATGATTCTGTAAACATTATTGAGAGAGATTGTTCAAAGAATGCATGTACAACAGCCAATGTAAATCCTTGTATTAGAACTGCTTTATTTCATAAGCCAAGCTGTGTACTAATTTTAGATGTCAATTTTTCCTTATTAGTAGTACACAAATAGAAGATCCTGAAACTTCACCCATAAATGTGAAATTGATTTGTCAAATGAAGGTAATGACACAACAACCTCAAGCCTATGAACCCTCGAGTATTATTCCGGGATCAGGCCTTTTATACTAAATGGTGAGCAATACCAGAAATGAATGTTGAATTTGCTAAACGATATGCACATTACAGTTTAATGCCCTGTTAAACAAATTTTGCAAAAAGGACATAGTTTATTTTGGCCATCTTAGTCACACTGTGATTTCATGATGAGCTAATTCTATTGATATGTTCAATTCATCTTTTGTAGTTGTATGAGTTATACTCATTCATGATGTAATTTGATCTACTTTTCCGATTTGAGCTACTTTTGCCATCGTGGTAAGCCACATCCTCTCCATCTCTGGATGCTATGAGTATCAGAATGTACTTTTGCAACTTGACCGATATTCAAAAATGTATGTGTATGTGGACTTGCCCGGTGAATGGTTCTATTTTTACAAATCAAGTGTTGAATATTCAATAAGTGCTACTTCTAAGAACTGGCAAGCCTATGTTTTAAAAATTGGATATTTAATCACACAAAATTTTCAGGGTTTTAGTGTTTCAACAGTAGAATACAAAAAACGAAATACATGTGGTTCCTAAAGGGTAAATTATGGCACATAAGGTTAAATATTATAGGTCAGGCCCGTAGCCAGGATTTGCCAAGGGGGGGTCAGTTTTCAAAAATTTCCAGGGGGGATTCACATTTGACAATTTTGGCCCAAATATGGCTAAAATTACTTGAGACGTGCTCAAAATTGTGAAAAACTGCATGATTTCGAAAGAATTTTTGGCCAGGGGGGGTTCTTACGAACCCTGCGAATCCCCCCTGGCTACAGGCCTGCAGGTCTTGAGATGGGCCATAGTGTCACATAGTATACAGGGTGAACCAAAAAACAGAACCCTCTAAAAGTCTAATAATTTCTGAAATACCTATCCTATCAAACCAATTTTTAATGTGCATAAGCTAGAATCTATGGATGATAATTTGATAGCAAGTTTGTAACACAAAATTGATTATTTGTAATACCGTGGATGATCTTAGAAATTGTGTCCAATTTGAGAAATCAACACTGAAACAAACTTGAAAATTCATTAGAAAATCAGAGGGAAATTCCAAAGATGTAAAATCAGTCTCATATAATATCTTAATTGAAAAATGAAGAATAAGCAATGGTAACAGATGACGGACCTCTATGCATGAACACCTCAAATGGTGTACGAGATTCCATTGGATGAATTCTAAAGAAATCTTAAGAGAGCAGAAGGATCAGTCGCTAAGAGCATTGCATGTGACATCAGAGTCAAACATTTAATAATAACGATTTGGAAGAGGAGGAAAGAACTGTTAAACACCTGAATGGGAAAAATGACCAGCTTACCTATCTAGAGAGGTTTCTTAGAATGGGGGTATGAGAACACCTGAAAGCACTGTGATTCACATTGAACGTAAATCCAAAATATCACTGGGTGCAGCCATACCTAAAAATGGCTCAAAGGTTGCCGGTGCAAAAGAAATTATGGTCCCCCAGGGATTCTGGTCCCCTTTCTTAACGGCCCTTTCTGGCCCTGATTGTGTATAAGATAATAAGGGAAAGGGGTCACAATATAAATCAATGAAGAGTAGGACCATAATTTGATAGGACCTCCTATCCTTTTACACAGGGACACTTTCTCATTAATGATATTAACCTTTATACTCACAAAATGTAGCTCAAGAAGAAGAATGTGATGAGTTTAAACAAATGATGTGTAACCCATTAGTTGACACGAAAAGCTTACATTTTCTTTTCTTTCAAAAGTGGGCACATTTTTTAAGTGACCATAACAAGTAGAATGTCAAGTGTTATGTTAAGAATTTGGTATCATATTGTCATCCATAGATTGTATTTTCTGTACATGAAAAATGAAGCTGATTATATATGTACTAAAGAAAGTATTTTATTTTTGGAGGGTTCTGTTTTTTTGGGTCACCCTGTAATTATTGAACATTTGTACTTTTGACCAGGCCTATATGAAGCTGTTTGGGGTAAATTCACAAACAAACACCCTGTTCTTTTTAGTCTAGATTCCTTTAATTCCTTTAAAGGTTTATCTGTTCATATTGTACTGTATTACATACCAAGCGAAGCATTTGTATGGAAGTCAATGGAGCTCAAGGTCAGCTATATATTCCTGTATTGCCGCCAAACTTTTTTACCACGACGACTTTACGACGTCATAACACGTAAACAAAGTGATTTCGACTGGAATCATGTAAAATTTTGGTATATATTTACGCATTTGTACATATTATCTTTATGAAATGTTATGTAAATGTATTTTAGGTATGTAATACAACAATTATGTCCCTATCATTGAATATATGCCTTCAGTCTGTCGTCAATATAACCCTCGCAAGCTCTGGCTATATTGATGACAGATCTCAGGCATATATTCAATGATAGGGACATAACTGCTAAGTATATATTTATTTTTAGTCCGATTACAGCAGTTTTGCTATGGTAACATTGTTATCACAACTGTGTCACCATAATTGTCACCATTTTAGATTGTATTTGTTGCTCTCATTATTAGAGTACAGTGAGGCAATGTCTTTCATGTATCATCAATCCTTTGTTGTCACAGTGGAAATTGTGATGTCATAAATTAAAGAATGCTCACAGAAATGCACGCCTGATGATTAAGTTAACAAACTTGGAATAAAAGGGGATTTTGTCTCAAGTACACCGTGCTGCCATCTTTATGTTGTTGAAAGCAGGCTTCAACGCTGTCTTTGTTGGTGTCCCAAAAGGGGAGAACCCACTTATTTGCTGACTCATCACTATTTCTCCAGATTTTCAAGTGTCCAATAATTTGTTTCTGAGGTAAGTCAATTTGGAGCTCCATTCTGAATTTGCCATTGAATACCAATCTAGGTAGGATATCTGAAATATCAAGAAAAAGTGTATATGATAATGGTGATGAAAATGGGACATCATATGGAAACCATGTTACAGAACACAGGATTAAAATCAATATGCTTTTGTCTAGAAATAGAATCTTAGACATGACACATTTATTAACTGGATAAAATGCAAAACAAGCAAAATGACACCACCTGCTAATCAGCCACTGAACACCGTCCACAAAAAAGTTGGAGACCATAACAATATGTCAACACTTGAAATGAAGGAAGGTACCCCAAATAATAAAACATATTGCAACAATATAGATAAATTGCTATTAATTTTGACACATACGAGTATTCTTCCCAGGATTTTTTCCAAAGTGGATGTAAAATTCTCATTTCATGAATGTTCAAAATTTTCCTTGATTTTTCTCAAGTAGGTGCAAAATCGGTTTTCAAAATCCTAAGTGTAGGCATCAGATTTCCTCATAACCTGTGACCTTGCAGACCATGACAACCTGACAAATCTGATAATTACCTCCACAACATTGTATCCTAAGATTTCTAAGTGTCTTTTCCGTGATTGCTGATGTCCGCGAAGATGCGAACTTGAGTAACAATACATGGCCTCACTGTACAATAGCACTGCCACCTTTTGCCAGTTTTCAGGTATCGGGACTGATGGGTCGATGACATTATTCACTGGATTGTTTGACTCATCAAGCAGTAAGGAAAAATCTAAAATATTACAAAAATTTACGTTGTAAAAAAGATACAGTATTCACCTTTCCATAAAGTCGGCTCATGAATATTATAATGAGCAGCTTGAAAATCTGTGATGTTAATGATAGAAACTTTTCCCGCGAAAGAACAAATGCAATTGAGTTTACATGTAAATCCTCAGTTAATTGCTGTCAATTGTACCGCTTCAAATGGGTATATTATCAGAAAATTAATATCGATTTTTACGTTGTAAAAAAGATACAGTATAAAATTGTGAAAAATATTTTGAGTCAATATAGCCTTTTTCATCCTTTAAATATGTTAAAAAAGAATTTGTGATATCTGCTCATTAGATTCCTAATTCATTATGTTATGATTTCCCCTTTTTCTAAATTATTTAAAAATTAAAGCATTTTTATCACAGTGGGTTTATTTTATAAGAGATATTTAATGTAATGCTATGAACAAAAATTCTGTTAAACTGTAAAACGTTTTTCAAAAACCTTTCTTAACTTGTTTGCTATTTAAAAATGATATTCACATTTTTCTTAATACCATTTTAGCATCAATTGGGAGAAGAAAATAGCATTTGTATCAAATATACATGTACATTACATCAGTAATTAAAAATTGATAAATAAATGAAAAAATAAATTGAAAGATATAAATGAAAAGATACCTATGTGATGGTAGTATGGGGAGAAAACATTCATCGTAAACTTTTCACTTCGGTTGTTGGTGTATCCCATTTGATAGCTTTTATTCCTTTGATTGCTATAGGTCTGTTGGTTGCCATAGGTATATTGGTTGCCATGGTGATTTTGGCTGCTAGAGCTAGTTTGGAGGGAGGGGAGAATTTGATTCAATGCCCGAGCCACCTCTGATTTCATATGCTCTGCCTGATATGACAGTCTGTGCCCTGAAACACAGAGAAAAGGTGAATAAAGGACATCCAAAAATACTTTAAAGCAAAGCTATTTTGACAGTAAACAATAGGTAATAAATACACTGGTCCCCACCTGGTTAAAGACATAACGTCTTTATAACAAAATGGGTAAACTTCCATCGGAGGAAGATTTTATTTTAATCATTTTCACCAAGAAGGAGGTTGATTTGTATCCAAATATTTTACCCGTGTGTTAATAGTAACATCCGATTACTGAAAATCTAGGCAGTCACGAACAAATATATCCATCAGCTCCAATAATTGAGTGAGAATTCCTCCCTTCAGCAACCAGTATCTGGTGAATTTCATAACATCTTGGTTGCTTCATGTTATGATCTATTAACTCCCTGGTTTCTGAAGTGAGGAATTCTCACTCGATTATGGGAGCCGTTGGATGTATATGATCGTGACTGATTCAGTTTTTTCTATGCTGATAATGTTATTAAGTTAACAAAGGCATACTTTTGTATTTATATCAATATCAAGGAAATTTAAATAAATTGAAAAAAAAAACTGATTCAGTGCAGGTTCCAAATTGAAGTTTCAACATAATATAGAGTACTAGAAAAGTACCTGTTTGATTTCCCAGCATATTGACCTTGCAGTACTGCTCATGAAACCATGGAATGTCCAATTCTGGGCACTCAAGCACTACGATTCGGTTTAACATCATCATACGCCTTTCCATGAATTGTTTATGCCCAAGATGTGCTGGAAATACAGAAACAATTGATAACAAAAAATGTTTCCATTCTTTTCTGTCAACATATACAGGGCGTTCAGTAAGTAAAGCTAATTTTGCTCTCAAACTTTTATTTCTTGTCTATCATCTTTCAAATTTTCAGTGGAGAAGCATCAGACACTTTTCTAACTATCCTGACAAAATGATCAAGATATAATGAATAACAGCAAAATGGTGGTTGTCATAGTAACGCGAATACGGGTTCTGCGGAGCAATTTTATAAGTTCACAGCATAGTAGATTTTGTTAACGTTAGTTTCTGTCCTGTCTATGTTTCAACCATAGTTCTGTGGCTACTCCACATTTCTACTTTCAAGTTAGCATTCTATTTCATGTTCAAAGTAGTTGTGAATCAGATAATGTACCCATCCTAGGCTGATATTGGTTAGTTCTGAGAGTTCCCTTACAGTTATACTGCGGTCTTCATCTAACGATTGCCTCAAATGATTCATGTTAGCCTCTTTGGTTAGAAGTTTTGGCCTCCCTGACCTTGGCTCATCACTTGTTGTTTTTCTCGCCTTTTGGAATTTCTGATACCATTTGTAGATTGTGTACTTAGGCACACTGTCCCCATATGCTTTTTGAATATCCCTAATGGTATCCTGCTTGGATTTCCCTAGCAACACATTGTATCTGATGCTACTTCTCAATTGTTGTTTCATTTCATTGTTCATTTTGCTTCCATTGGCAATCCTGGCAGCCATGATTTTGATGATGTCATGGAGCAGTGTCTGATGGATCATTCTGGATCATTCCATCTGTTGTATCATCTGTCTGTGATGTCATAGACTACTGTTGCCATGGTATCATATTTGTGTATGTTGTTGTTATATTTGTCGTGACTTTCAGCCATAGCAAACAAAGACATATGCAGCATTAATCTTAATCAATTTCATTGCATTATAACATTTTTATTAAAGTAAGAAATTGCTCCGCAGAACCCGTATTCACGTTACTATGACAACCATTGTTTTGCTATTATTCATCATATCTTATTTAATTTTTCAGGGTAGTTAGAAAAATGTCAAATGCTTCTTCACTGAAAATTTGAAAGATAAATGACAAAAAATAAAAGTTTGAGAGCAAAATTAGCTTTACTTACTGAACGCCCTGTAATACACAAGACATTATTAACATGCAAAATGTCACCACCTGCTATTTGTTATAGACCCCATTTGTTGAGGATGCAAAATTTCAAACATTGACTGCCAGACTCCAAACTCCACCCACAAAAATATCTTACCACTTGTGGTGACATAAAAATGTGTTGAGATGGGATCCTAAATAATGATAGAGAGCTAGAGGAGAAGAGAGCTAGATTAATTATTTTATTTCTGAAAACTTGTAGATGATTTTGAAAAAAACTGAAGTCAGTCTAAACAGTATTTGTTAAGTTATTGGAAGTTTTAAGACTTTGTCACAGCCGTCAACCACCAATCGCCAACTACCACCCACCAATCACCAACCACCGTCACAAAAAACGGATACCATAACAATATGTCACCATTTATGTCACCACTTTTTGGTGGTGACATAATAAAACTGGAAACTGAAACTAATTTTCATACATCAATTAACAAAAATAATAGAACAAAATCCTGCACTAAGAGATAGAACATTCAGCATGGAATTTATCAAAAAGTAAAAATATGAAAATCATATATCCGAAATTGTTCATTGGTTAGGTGTATGATTAAATAGATTAAAATTCCTCAATTCACTAACCTTTTATAGCATTACTATCTAGCTTTCGACAACACCTGTTGCCTTTCTCAAGATGTCTGAATTTGGTTTTTAAGTTCAGCACCGCACCCACCACGCATTTGGAAGAGATACGTGGATGACACTTGGGTAGTTATACAGGAAGAGTTCGTCCAAGAGTTCACAGACTTTATCAATTCAGTAGACTCAGATATAAAATTCACAACTGAAGCTTTAAAAGATAGGAAGTTGCCATTTTTAGATACAGTCACTGAAATTCAGGAGGATAGATCTTTGTCCATTAGTGTGTATAGAAAACCCACACACACTGATTTATATTTAAAATTTGATTCACATCACCCACTTTCAACAAAGAAAGGAATCGTTAAGACTTTACACAAGAGAGCCAATGAAATTATTACAAATCCCGCAGAGCTAGAAGCAGAGAAAACCCATATTAATAAAGCATTAGCCCGGTGTGGTTATCCATCTTGGATGTTAAACCAAGCTCAGAATCACACAGTTAGGCAACAGGATCCTGCTAGAGACAGTGAAGATAGGGATATTAAGGTAGTTCTTCCCTATGTGAGTTCGATCGCTCCCAAACTTCAACGTGTTTTTCAAGACATTGGAGTTAAGACTTGTTTCAAATCAGTGAAAACTATCAAACAAGCGTTAGTTGCACCCAAAGACCCCACTCCCAAGGACCTTAAGTCCGGAGTCATATATGAAATCCAATGCTCAGATTGTGATAAGAAGTATATAGGAGAGACAGGGAGAGCCATAGGAACTAGAATAAAAGAACACAGAGACGCCTTAAGAATTAACCCAGACAAGTCAGCAATCGCTCAACATTCATTTGATGAAGCGCATAAGATAAACTGGGATTATAGAATTATTGACTCAGAGTCTAAATACTTTGATAGAAAGATAAAGGAAGCGATACATATTCATAAATATAAACCTGAACTTAACAGAGACTTAGGATATAAGGTTTCCCCGAGTCTACTTGAGGTTGCTAGGTCAAAGATCAAGTCAAGGTCAAATCTACCAGTTTCCCGCCAAATTCAGACATCTTGAGAAAGGCAACAGGTGTTGTCGAAAGCTAGATAGTAATGCTATAAAAGGTTAGTGAATTGAGGAATTTTAATCTATTTAATGAAAATCATATTTTTAAAAATTATGTCAAAAAAGCTTGGTACGTTATTAATCAAAGTCTAGTGAAATATTTGGCAACATCCAGATATCTTAGCCTATCTCACTAGCACAGCTTAGATAAGTAGGAGTGATTTAAGAACTATATAAAATAGGCTAAATTCTATAAAACCACTTTAGTTGACCTTTTACACCCTTCTTCAAAGGACTTCATTTATGCTTAAATTTATATACTTGTGAAATACCCTTTGGACCTTTCAGAGCTGCATTGAGACAGCATTAAATAAATACTGTAATGTGCTAAATATACCAAATCAGCTGAAGGTGAACAAAAAGCAAAATAACAACTTACAAACGAGAAATAAAGTTTAGAATGTGCACTATGAAAGCTATTATTATTGATCGCGCAACTGGGGAGTTATCTGTGAAAGATGTTGAGAAACCTGAAATTAAACAACCAAGTGAAGTACTTGTAAAAGTGAAATATTCTGGCATATGTGGGTCAGATTTAGGATCCCTCAACAAAAAGACAGGAAATGAGACAAAATGCATCCTCGGACATGAAGTCTCTGGTATTGTAGAAGAAATTGGAGCTGCAGTCCATGATTTGAAAGTTGGTGACCCCGTATGCGTTAGCAGCGTGATGGGATGTGGATCATGTGGTAGGTGCAGCCGTGGGAGGGAAAACCTATGCGACAATGAAGGAATATCCACATTGTTGGGATATTTAGTGGATGGTGGCATGACTGCTTTCATTGTGTCGAAACGAGCACGTTTGTTTCTCCTTCCATCTGAAATGCCACTTGATATTGCAGCCTTAAGTGAGCCATTTGCAACAGCTTATCACCCATTAGAGATGGTTGCAAAAAATCTTGATCCTGAGGTATCCAAGGCATTGGTGATTGGTTGTGGCCCTACGGGAATGGCAATGGCATTTCTTTTGCATTACAAAGGTTTCAAAAGCATAACAGTAGTCCAACGATCCAAGCCGCGACGGGATGCTTTGTTGAGCTTCGATCTCGGAATTGACGTCCTACACCCAGATTCTCTTATAAGCGAATTTGAAACCAAAAATGGCCGGAATGATGGATTTGATTTCATTTTTGACACTTCTGGTACAGCAGAAGCAATAAATGCGTATTTCCCTTTGGCACGTAAAGGAGGAGATTACTGCATATTTGGACTCATTGATCCAAAAGTGTGTCTGGATAAAGTAAACGCCTCTGACTTGATGATGAATGAAATAAATATTTTGGGCTCAAACTGCTTCACACCAACAGATTTAACAAAAACTATTGACATTCTCAACAAAATGCACCAATTGTTGGATTTATCTAAAATTGGTATCAACCTTTACCCAATAGAAAGATATGAAGAAGGATTTACTGATATGCAAGATAAGAAAGTGACAAAAGTCATGTTTGAGTTCAATGTCTAACCAAGAGAATACTTTGGTGATTTTAAACAAACTGCACAAATTGCTATTTAGCTTAAAAAATAAGTAAATGAAGTGTTCATTATAACATATTAAATTAACAAGGCATTGACATGACATTAAATAATGGGACTCACAAGACACACTTAGATATCCAAAATGGCTGCCTTAACATTTACCCTGAATGCCTTAATTATACCATTAACATCCCTTTAAATTTAATTTTGGAACTTTCCAATATGTAATATTATGAAATGAACTATAGAATGAGTTTTCATACACATATACATGAAATCATTATAATAATCAATAGTATGAATAAATTAATATTTTTCTTACCAGAATCGAGAGTCTTGTCTGCCTTCTTAAGATAATCAAGGCTGAATATTTTGCGAAGAATATCATGTGGATAACACTGTATAAGAGACATGGAGAACGCAAAGTTAATCACCATGTTAACTGGAAGGTTGTCATTGAGGTTCGCTTCATTCACTAACTGAAATGAATAATACAAATGGTTTAACATGCTCCACTTGCAATGCTTAATATTTACTAATAAATAAGGCATTAACATGTAAAATGTCACCACCTGCCATTTGTTACAGATGCCGACTGTCGAGTGGCAACCGCCAAACACTAAAAAAAGTTGGAGACAATAACAATCAATTGAATTCCATGATAAGACTCTTATCTTTGGCTACAAGACACTAGCTATACTTTAATGAGTGGTTAAATAACTTATGGTATATTATATTTGTACTACTGTATGTTCAAGAATTAAAATTGTATCATTTTTCGCAGATATTGTAATATTGAAAAAATGATGTAAACAAAGTTATAAAAACAGAAATATATACATGAATTAAAAAAAATTGAATTTCACGATCATTTTTGGGTGATATACTAAGAAAGGTGTGCTTTAAGATAGTTGAGGCAATGTCATGAATCTTGAAATGGGGTCTTTGTTATGATTTAAAAATATGATAAAACAAAAAAAGCCATTTTGAATTGAGTGACCATATTTGAAATGCCAATAGTACTGTTTTAAATACCTTGAAAGCAATTTGTGAGAACTCAGCACTACGTCTTGGAGTGTATCCCACTTGGGCCAGGGCATCTATGACACTCTGGAGTCTGATGAGTGTCAGTGTATCTTGGTTAGCAATGCAGGTATCCACCAAGTCATCCATAACCTCAGGCAGGTAGAACCTTAGGTTAGCTATTGATCTAAAATAAAACTTTTTATTAGGGGGACTCCGTTGAACTTAACACCCAAAATAAATTAGCCACACAGTGTCGAATGGTGAGCTCACACAGCAAATGTGACAGCTATATGTACTAAGAAATTTGAAGTAAAGAATTTTGTTACTGATGCACATACTTAGCCACTCTATACATGGAGACATCAGTTAGATCCTTAGTGAAGTTAGGATACAGGTTCATCAGAGCATTTGTCAGATTAGGGTCTCTGTGCTTCTTATCCATACATAAAGAGGTCACCAGCTGAAAACAAGAAGATAAATGAATAAACACAGAGAGCTCACACATCTCAAACTCACAACCTTATGTTATGGCGACAGCGTCTTGCTAAGCGTGTTTATTGCTCTAGAATACTCAGCCAACTTGACAAAACTTCTCAAAAAAGGTTGTTTCATCGGCCAATCTGACGAGAGGGAACAGGTGTTAATACTCAAACACACTAGATGTAACATCCATACATACATTCACACACAATTAGCTGGATAATCCTTGAGGTTTTTTATGTTAAAGGAGGTTTAAGGCCTCCTAAAACATGAAAAGAGAAACATGGAGTACATGTACAAATTGTGCTGAAAGAGAACCATTTTTAAAACATTTTCAAAATAACACCCATGGGCATTTATTTTGAGAGAAATTAGGAAGCAGGAATTACAAGTAAATCTGATACTATAGTAACTATACTCACATTACTCAATGTCCCAAGGTCATTGACCTCATGTATTTGCTCCAACACAGCTTTGTAAATAGCATTCAAGATCTTGATAGACTGACGTTTTAGCTCAATGGATTCCACTCTCTGAAGATCTGATATTCGTTTCGCAAATGCACATAGGGATTTTACATCAGCATTAGGCAAGAAATCAATGATCTTCTTGAACAGACCAGGAGGTAATGGTTGGTCAGTGAAGCGTAATATGGCCTGTAATGCGGTATAGGGATATTTTGTTATACCGGCAGCTGCAAAGGAATATCTTTATATATTATGCCTTGGTCACATTTGGTCCGATTTTCACTACGGCTCCCGGCTGATTGAGTATTTTGTTCAAAATTGAATACAATATTGAACAAAACACTCAATCGGGGAGGCGCCGGCCGATGGATCAGAGCAAATGTGACTCAGGCATTAGTTGATGATGGGTATTGATATTTCAATGCTATTCAATAACATTAGTTTCAAATTGAAAAAGTGCAAGTACAGTACATGTAGAAAATTATTTATATGGAACTGCCTTCAAAGAATTTTGATGATTTTTATAGGTTATAACTACATAACTAGAATAAAGTATGTACTGAGAGTTTATCTCACTATTAAATTCACTTATAACCAGAACTTGAAAGACAAAAATAAGTTGTTTTTGGTTAATAAAATTCAATAAACTAATTATAGATGTTTTGATTTAATAATTTAATTAAAAAAACTTTTGAAAGGTATTTCACTCATTGGAATACATTGACTATTGTGCAGTGCTCATAAATTTTATCTACAATTCAAATTACAAGTTGATAGGGGTTATTAAAATAAACTTAAATTGTCAAATCTAACCAACATACCAGTTGTTTGAGGGTCATCAATAGCCTTCCAAAGATGGTCATGGTAAGCCAATTTCAGCTCCTTCGATAACAAGTTCTTACGTATGATGATATTACTCACAAACTTGAAAATCACATCTGTTCTGTGAGAGGTATGCCCAGTTAAAACTGGCACATTGTGAAGAATATGCTTCTGTACTTCGTTCAAAAGTTCAACATTACTGCAGTTTGTATCTTGTAGGCTTTCACATATATTTGATAATAGGATCACATCTTCTATTTTTTCTTGCTTCAGTTTTGTTAATAATATGCTTTCAATTTCAAGCTTCATGTGACTGGGACTGTCTCTTTTGAACACTGTATGGAGGTTGACAATTTGATTCAGCTTCAAATCAGGGTTCAATTTTCTGTATCCAATGTCCTTGAATGCTTTGGCAAAGTTAAAATCATAATATCCAGCCTTTTTTAAGGAACCACATATATCTGCCAAATGACCATGGTTGCATCTGTCCCCAACTAATATTGCTGCATTGGCACATGCATTGAGGATGTCCATAACTTTCTGGATTGTTCTATCACCATGAGAGACACGTGTTGCCATGCGCATGTGCGCTGCGATATCTTCAGGATAACTAAGGGTATCAGTTTTATCAAACATCATCAGAGTAATTTCATATAATTTTGTACGCAATCTAGGCGAGCTATAGTACTCCAGAGTATGTGCTGTTTGAGACACCAAACGTGCGTTCGTTCTAGTGTATTCAATATGCTCCAGCAAATCACTGAATCTATTAATCACATTCTTTATTAGTTTATAATCTCTATATGTTTTCCCACGTATCACTTCAGCAAAATCTTTTAGAGTGGGAAGATCAATGTCAGTTGACGAAGCATTCTGATTGGCTAATGACAATTTACAAAACAAGCTTGATTGCAATTCAATTCCCAATTGGGTCAATGATACAGTAATATTTGCTAGATCACTGGCAGAAAAATTAGGAACATTTTTTTCAATTTTTCCTAGGAGTTGATCAAAATTTGGATGTAGTCTAACTAATCCTACTGTACTGTTGATCTTATTCCCCAATGCAAGTTGAATGTAAGAAATGATATGAGAGTCATTTTGTAGCCAGGGAAAATGCTCTATACGCTTGAATGCAGCCAGTTTTAGTGAACACAAGTCTTGTGCAATATCCCCAATATTTTTGTTGTGGATGTCTTCCAGGATTTCGAGCTCAGGCGCACTCAAGAATGTCTCAGGATGATCGGTGCTGCTTGTGTACCATTTAAAATTCTGGGGCGCTTCACTTGGCTTTTTAAGATTTCCAGTTCGATGGTTATATTGAATGACACGAGGGAGTTGTTTGAATGCAGGTTTTATCGAACAATGTCTGCTTGTTATAACAGCACTTTTAGCACCTGTCTTGAGCCATTTGAAGGCTTTGGCCCCTTTTCTACCAACACAACCCAGCATTTTCCCAGCTTATTCATCAGTTCATGTGTCTAAAAATAAAAATTAACATGAAAAAATGTCACTATGTGTGGGTAAGTGTGAAAAACCATCAGCTGAATGTCAGTTATAGTCACATTTTCTTCATATAAATGGGCCTTCGAGTTTCTGTCCCTAAAGGTAGAGTGGAAATTTCAATCTTGCACAATCCTATTACATCCTAGGAGTCATCAAGAGAACGTTTTCCAACAAAGACCCAGACATTTTCCTTCCCCTCTACAAATCATTAAACTATTGTTCGTCCCCATTTTGATTACTGTACAGTTGTCTGGATCTCCAAATTCAAGATGGATACAATATTGAGAAAATAGAAAGGAGAGCCATCAAACTGATAACTGGACAAGAACTGAATCTCTTCTCAATGGCCCATAGGAGGAAGGACATCTGATCAAAGTTTACAAGTTGAACAACATAGACTATTCTTAATTAATTACTCTGAGTCAAAGCATTAAAAGAGGTCACAGCAAGAAATTCTGCAAAAGTAGATCAAACACTGCTCTGAGACAAGGATTTTTCAGCCAACACACCATCAATGAATGGAACAACCTCCCGGAAAAATCAGTCTCCACCCAGACCGTAGACAAGTTGAAGTGACTTCAGTCTGTTACACTGCTTCAAAGGGCAAGAAGTTGAACCTGAGAAATAAGAAATTTAAATGATATTGTGCCATAATATATAGAAAAATATATTCATATTGCACACGAATGGCATTTGTATATTTGAGATTACTTGTGTTTAGTGCAATAAGCCTATGCCCTCATGTAATTTTGGGTCTATCCGCCATGTTATTTTTTTCAGAATTAACATGGCAGAGAAGCATCAAAATATAAGAGGTTACAGACTTTATAATTTACAAGCAATCCAAAATATACAAAGGTCATTTGTGTGCTGTATGAACTGCTTGCCTTTGTAGCAGTGTAACATACTGTGGGATGATCAGTTTATACTCTGCTAGCTTTTATTTTGGTGCAAATTGCAATTTTGGTTTTATCATGGACATTTTGAAAACACTTGACTTTATCATGGAAAACCCATGGAAATAAAATAGCAAAAAAGTTTATTGAAAAAAAAAATATATCTAGAAGGGATGAACTCACAGGTCCAAGCTGTATACTATAAAAAACGCCGATGATGCAGCCTCGTAGCCAGGGGGGTGGAGCGGAGGGAGTGGCCGCATGATTTTTTGCCAAAACTCTCAAAAAGCTCCCCCTTGGCAAAAAACTGGCACCCCCCTTGGTAAAACCGCTCTCCCCAAATAAATCCTAGCTACGAGCCTGCGATGATAATGACATTAGTATGTTAGACATAGATGTTGAAGTTCTTTACAATGTAAGTTACATGTACATGTATTATCACCCATATTCGGACATAACTCACTGTCTAGCCTAAAAAAGTGTTCCAAAGTAAATGCACAGACGATCTGATACTTCAAGTTTAAGTTAAACAATATGTGGTTAAAACCAAATACTAGTTCTATATATTTAGGTTCTCTGAGTTGTTAAAACTTTGAAAAGTAATTAGATTAAATTTATAAAGTTTTTTGAAAACTTACTTTCAGCAAGAGAGCATAATCAAGTTATGTTTTCAATTCAAATAGGCAAAGAAAAATTAGTTAGATATTTAGTCAATAAAATGCTAAATGCCATATCTGTTCCATTATTTTGTATTCACAGACTGTTCATGAACAAAATAAAAGTTATAAACTGCGTTTTAAGTCCATCATCGAAAATCAAACGACTTATGCTCCATTTTCTAGAAAACTGCTTCTTGTTAGAAATTTCAAATCTGCATTTCCGGAAAGTAAACCAACTTTTGAAACTTCCATATTTTGAGATTTATTCACACAGTATCGTGATTTTACAGCAATAATACTAACAGGTTTGTAAAGAGTTTATTTTATGTTTATTTGTTGAGTAGTTTTAGAACATTTTTTCGAAAATATTTCCATCGGATATTTGCACAATTACTCAGCGAGTAGGTAGTTACCAGTTTCGCCACCAGGTGGCTGATTCGGGGGAAATAACATGGCAGGATATTACAAAATTCCCTTAAACCTGAATATTCATCAGTTTTAGTGGTTCACTTTTCATATTACCTTTTTGTACATAGGCTAAGGGTTAAGTAATAGTAAGCTAGAAGAAACAGGTAAACAATTAGGATTGAAAATTTTTTCAAAAACTTGCCGTCTTGGTACGAGTTCTCCTTACTGGTATCGAGTCGTACCACCAAATCTCCCAAGAATCTTCTCCAAAGTGTTTTCGAAACGTAGATTGTTGAATATTTCAAATCTATATCCTAACTCTTCGATAAGACAGCATAAAAAAACACCAACTGTACGAACCTGCAATTGCCCGGCAAGTTGAAACTTCCGAACACATGGAAAGATTGAATCTTGTAACGATTGATTTGATTGGTTGTAATTAGAAGTTTAAAATTCCAAGAAAAATGTTAATTTCACCATTTAAATTGGGTTTAAAAAGATATTATATGAATCAGATGTTTTGATAAATAATTATTAAGTAAACCTTTTATAGTTTTGTACACTTTAATTGATTGTTATTTCTAGAAAATGAATTACATTTTAGAGAACCAGATAGGTGTCACTGGCGGCGGTTAGCAGGAACCAATCAAATTCCTTGTTTCAAACTTCCATTCTCATGATTCAACACGGAAATCCGGGTAACTTGCCAGGCAATTGTAGGTTTTCAGAATATCTCGCCTCAAGACGGCTTTATTCACTCTATATCACTTGAATGTGGTTGATTCATAGGTAAGAATTGAGAACTATCAATTTTGGATCAACTCTGCATTGTTTTTTGAAAATTATACACAAATAATGTAAAAATCGCCATGTTAACAAGTGGCCTAAATCCTAGTTGTTCACCTGTCTCTTCTATATACAGCTTACTATTACTTAATCCTTAGCCTATGTTTATGTATGTGATAGCTCTAGTTATACAAATTAAAATATGTCCAGTAAAAGAAAATATTATCTGCCCAACACAAGAAAAGATATTTCACTTTTTGTGGTTTTACAACATGGGGTCTATGGGGAATCTCCCCGACCTAGAAGTCACATTTTCAAAGAAAATTAAATTTTCAAAGTTGATAAACTCTTTTCAAAACCACATTTCTTGATGTAATTTTACATGTAGATTCCAAATATGACATCAGTTTGACTGAATTGTGAGTTTTTAATGACGTAAATCAAGATTATTTCTACTCGCATCTAGGATATTCAATAGATGGGTCAAAATCTCACAAACACAAGTCTAGCATTGTAGCAACATGTATCATCATCATGGTGTCCAACTATAGACCAAATAAGGTAGAAGTTATCTAGTTAGGAAAGCATAAAAGCTTTGTGTTGCCTCATGGAAATAAGCCACCAATCGCCCACTTCTACCTCTAGGAGGATTGTGAGTTTCAAACTGTATCGTATTTCTTCAAACTTGTTCCGTTCAAAGCAAAAGGAAAATGCCTTTCTTTTGGTACATTATTCTGTTATACGCAGAGCCCCCCGTTTCATAGCTGCTAAAACGAGGGACTCTGAACAATCAGCAATGCACTGACAGAAAGGCATTTTTGTTAAAATGGAACAAGTCATAATATCATTTGTGGTTCAGTAACACCTAAAAAATAAGCGATCAAAAGACCACATTGTAGTATCATATGGAAAAATACATTCATATTTTACATGCAAATTCTTTATTCTTTTCAGATGGCAACCTGAAATAAAATCTTCATTCCTCAATAAAGGTTTTCAACAAACTTCTGCAAATTTAGGATTACTACCTCCTCATAGCTCAGAATGCCTCTTGATTTTGACTGGCCATTTCCTCCTGCGAACAAAGTTTCCCGATTGTGGACGTTAGGTCAGCGAGCAACTATATTTTGCGTGGGCTCAATTAGTAAGATCTGGGCTGAGTGGATGAACACAACAAAATGTTACAACAGAGAAATTTTGGTGAATGCTATTGAAAATCGCGAACCAGGCCAGCCTTTGATTACTGTAAGCAATCATCAGTCTTGCTTGGACGATCCTATGCTTTGGGGTGTTCTGGATTGGCGATATTGTCTCAATCCTCATTTGATGCGCTGGACTCCTGCGGCTCACGATATCTGCTTCACTCAACCCCTCCATAGGAAATTTTTTGCTATTGGGAAAACCATACCTGTAGTTCGGGGAGATGGTGTGTATCAAAAGGGTATGGATTACTGCATCGAGAAATTAAACGATGGAGATTGGGTACATGTTTTCCCCGAAGGAGGAGTAAATATGACCAAAGAGCTCATGAGGTTAAAATGGGGTGTAGGACGTTTAATCGCTGAGAGCAAGAGAGTACCGATAGTTGTTCCAATGTACCATTTAGGTATGGATGAAGTTCTCCAAAATTATCCTCCATATTATCCTAGGATTGGTAAAAAGGTGACCTTATTAATAGGCGAACCCATTGAGTTTAAAGAAACACTCGAAAAACTCAGGCAAGACAAGAAAACTCCTATGGAAATAAGAAAGTGCTTAACAGATAGGATTCAAGAGGAGTTTAAAGCTATGAAAGATGTTGCTGAACGATTACATAATTTCGCTTTGAATAATTAGACACTTTTCTGCTGGATTTAGAAATTGACCATTTATAAGCCAGTGCAATTAATGGACTGATGCCTTGTAGTTTTTCCTTCTATGATTTAGTGCGAAGGAATGTATAAGAAAAATAGACCGTGTATTTTGGAATATCATGTTCTTACGACCAATGTGCATTTTAGGCACTCTGACAACTCAGGATGTACATACATTTAAGACAACTGAAATATTAAAATGGTGCCCATTTTTAATACAATACTATTTATTCAAATTCATATTAGTGCCATACACTAGTAACTGATTACACGCTAGTAGCAGTGGTGGATGTCAGTTGCTAGAAATAAAATTCATTTCTGATAATTGCCGATAATCTAGGTAATCGGAAAATGCTCAGTTTTTGGCAACAAACCTGGCTAAGTGGCTAAGTGGCTCGTATATGTAATATCCAAAGTACTAAACTGTTTTAGGTCACCATTTTATATTTCTACATGTATATTTACTAGGATGTTAGTTTAAAACAATACTGAAGTATAGACAACAAAAGAACTCTCTATAGGTTTTAAGAATCATTTTTGAGTTTTACTTTCAACTTTTCTCAGGAAATTTCAGGATAATGAAATGTTCATTTTAGTTTTTCAACTCTTAACTTGTCTTCTAATTGCAATTTTTCAATATATCATGATGCTTGTTAGTTGCCTTAGGCATTAAAATGTATCCAAAATATTTTTAATCTCTGCCTTTCCCTAATGCAGTAGGATATCACCTTCCCAACAAAACATGCAATTTTGAAAAACTGGCTTGCATTAAGTACTAATGTACCCTACTCCCCCATTCTGTTAATTCCTGATATTGTAAGGTGGCCAAGGGTATCACACTTTTGAACATATACCAGGACATTCAATATGTAACTGTCGTAACCACTATTTTTGACCAGTCAAATAAGAGATGCTGATGTTTTACAATTCAATAACCAGATATTTTTGGATGCTAAAAACGCTAAAAAAATGAGAACATTTTCCGCGAGCTTATTTAACAACCTGGTACATGTATATGCAGAAAACAGTTTCATGGGTTTTTCCAATTATCTGATTGTAATTTGCAGGGTGTGGCACCATTAATGTTGGGAGATCACTGCTAATACCTATCTGATGTGAACACGATTTGTAGTCACTCAGAGTTTATCTGTCAAGGTACTCACATGGGGGGTTACTGTGCTTACAGTACATAGAATCTCTTGTTTAAAAACCAATAGCTGAACCTTCAATTAAAAGCAAATAGATTTTAAAGGCTTCCCATTTTCACCATAAATAGCTCATGTTTTCAGCTTACTTTTTAGAGAAACATTGTCATTTGAGGTACACCAAGAGAATTTTGTCAATTTTCAAAAAGTCACGATTTTACATTTAAGCTTGAAAATAGTAAAACTTCATGTTAGATTGAATTATTTGATTGTTAACATGCTATACTAGCAAATGTTAAATGCTTGTGTGTCTTTGTGTTCAACTTTGTTAAAATCTATCCAAATATTTATGTGTTGTAGGTAATAAAATAGAAATCTTCAAACACCAGGGGGTGGAAATGCGTAGAGTATTTTCATTGCATACACTGGAAAAACATTTCAAAAACCGCCATCTTATTAAAAGATTAGGTAAGTGTAGTTTTATTTTGTCGTCTGTCAACATTTTTAGTACTTCCCAATCTGTCAATACACTCATCACGCTCCCAATATATCGGGGAAACATTCTAGAGATACAAATAGACACCCAAAACTCAACACAGTGGGGTTAACCACAGAATTCTTTTTCAAAATCACCACATTTCTATTTAATCCACATTCTAGAAAAACTAGATGGATGACTGTCAATTCATAACAGTGGAATGCTTCCCCGATGTACTGGGAATATGATGAGCATATTGCCTGGTAAGAAAACTACAAATCGTTCACACACTTCAGATTAAAACTACACCTACATGCTTTTCAAACAAAAATTGCTGAAGCACTGGGCAGAACTCGTGATAACTACACAGGGGCGGATCTGGGAATCAACAAGGGGGGGGGGCAAATTTCAGGCCTGAGAAAAAATTTTGGGCCCCTAAAACCTAAAAGTTGGCCCAAATTTTGAGGCCCATTTTCTTTAAAATTTGGTCTAAAATTAAAAAATAAGGCCTTAAAAGGCTCAGTAATGACCAAAAAGGCCAATTTTTTGGGGCCTTAAGGCTTCTTTTTTCTGGGTCTACCCCAGATCCACCAGTGCTACATACTAGTATATTTTCTATTTCAAAAGGAAAAATCTTTAATGAGTTTTCTCGTCTAGCATTTTGATATTGGAAAAATAGATGTCACTCTATATTGTGAGTATTGTAAACTGATTTAATTTTGTGACTATTTAATTTGTCATTTTCACCATATACACATTTTCACCATATTTTGAAAGATGTGACTATCCCAAAGGATGCCATTTAATAAATAGATGCCATGATGGATATTATTAATAACAATTACAATTGACTATCTTGTACGTAATTGGTCACTAAATTAAAGCAAATTTACAGTACATATGTATGGCTTGAATATTAAACATTGTAATTTGTACTGAATGTTGTAGTATCGCTCAATACATTATTTAATATACTGTGAAATCATGTTTTCTGGCTTAAAAAATAACACTATGATTTGAAGATTCATGGAATTCCCTAAACCTAAAAGGCAGGGGTAGAGAGGAAAATACATGACCATATGACCAAAATGCACAATATTTTCAGAACTAGAACTCTTCAACATTTCATTTGGTATAATAAAATATGAAAGTAGTGCAATCCCAAATATATTTTATCTTATTAGACGTTGGGTCTGTCCAATGTCTAAAATAGATTAGGTCCTTCTTTGGTCTAAAGGTAAGGTTAAATTATTGGCTCATCAGGGTTTTTACCAGGTCTTTTGTTTAGCAAATTTTCTAATATTTTCATCCACAAATGGTCAAGAAAAGAAGTCTTGTTTCTGTTCATTTTGCACATCATTGACAACAATTTTTTAAGTGTACTTTTATTTGTTTAAAATTTCTAACCCTGGTGACCAGAAACAAGACTTACATCTGTGTATACTAATGAGTTTAAAAGGTAGCAATCCTAATTGTTAGATAGACTTTTTACAAGGTGTAAATCAATTAGTTTGTTAAATTGAAAACATGTCATTTATCATGTATATCAGCCTCCAGGTTAAACAACCAGTTTTCATACAGTGAAACCTGTAAAGTGGAACACCTCTAGAAGTGGAACACCTCTGTCAGTGGAACACTTTTCGGAGTACCGCAGTACCGAGACCAACTGAGTTAAGAGAGGGTCAGATCTTATGAGCAAGCAAATTGTTACAATTTAGTTTTTTGTATTATCAAGCCTTGCCATGTTGATTTTCTAAAAATCCTCAAAGTACATGCTGTACTTCATTCCAGGTTAACTTAAAGGCACATTGTAACATACAGCTGACAAAATGGTTCAAGAAATTTTTTTCATGCTTAATAGTCGGTTTCATGGTTTAAAACCTTCTCTGATGATTCTGTTTTCGAATTATGCACGCAGGTCCATTCTAAGTCGCCTATTGAACCAATTGAAAAGCCATATTTAGACTGAGGATTGAAAGGTGTTTATGACAACTTTCAGCTCATCTTTATTATGATAGACCGGAAGTGATTTTTCGAGTTGAGTAAAAAATATTTTTATGAATTTTTTCAATATCTGCTGAAATATGGTATGTTTGCTTGTGTTGATTGTTAAATTACAAAATAGGTATGGTAAAGAATATGTGAAAGCTGTTTGATCTTGTCCCAGAAGCAATATTTTATTATTTTTATCGCCTAGAATTCCTTTAAGATTTTTACAATATGTTATTTTTCTATTCTTATGGTTACCATTTTTACCATATGAGGGAATTTTATTAAACACTTTTCCCATTTTTGCACTTTGCATCCTGAATCCAGATCTTTTTGGAGATATTGTATTTGAGATCATAAGGAATAGATTGGTAGGCCAATTGTACATGTTCCTGCTATTTGTCACCCCTATAGATCTGATTCTGTCTTTGATGTTAAATGAACCTCTATAAGTGGAACACCTCCCAAGTGGAACAGAAGTGTTCCACTAAGACAGGTTTAACTGTACTAGTAATAGTATGTTGGATTGATGTGGTGCAATTGCAAAACAAGGACCTGGAGTTGATTTGAATGCTGCAGTTTTAATTTCATCATCATAATTGTTTTAGAAAGGCATCACTTGCATAAATGACATAAGACCATGAATAATCAAATGCAATTGAATTAGACCATGAATGATCAAATGCAATTAAATAAGACCATGAATGATCAAATCCAATTGAATCAGATCATAGATGATCAAATATGATTAAATTAGATGATGAGTGATTATATCCAATATTGAATTAGACCATAGATGATTAAAAAATTAAACATAATTAGTCAATGGATGATCAAATCCAATTTAATTAGACTGTAGATGATCAAACAAATCCATTTTAAATTAGACTCTATAGACTACAAACAACTGACTGACCAAACAATTGAATTAGACAGTGGATGATCAAATCCAATTGAATAACACTGGTTGATCAGAGATCGTACTGAAACTTTGAATGTGAATACACTGTAAAGCAACAACTTCGTCCAACATAACCTAGAATTTCAGTAAATAAATCCAAACAATTTAATGCATTGTTTTACAATGTTTTTTAAGATGTACTCATTCATTGATTTGTACTGTGTAATATTGATCTTAGTAAGGGAGATGCAGAGTTGTACACTATTGTTTATGATTTGAATATAAACTTCCAGATGCAATAACAGACTAGAGCATTCAATTCAATTACTGTACTCCCAGTTAATTTTGCGAGTTTTAATTTCGCTATAATTTTTAGAAAACACAATTTTGTGGCTATTAAATTTCGCGGATTTCACAAGTTAAGATCCCGTTATTATTAGAAACCTCAAGCTCTGTAAATACCTCATATACAGTAAGTACACCTACCTAATGTCATATTTGGATAAGATTTACAATTACTTCTAGATCTCGGTCAATGGTACGGTGCACCTTAACCTTTATTACATCGTCACTTTCATTAATAAGCTGATGTAACAGACTTTGTTGTTTAGTATCCCGCAGTTATCACCTAATAACACTGGACAAATGTATTACAAGTCCCAGGTAATTTCACAAATCTCCTGGGATTTAATTTACAATTTTGCAAAGATTAATTTTCACAATTTTACAACAATTGCGAAAAGCGCGAAACTAAATCACATGCGAAAATTACTGGGAGTACAGTATCAGATTCATGGTGAATATCAATTATTACGATATACAGTAAAACTAATTCTCTGTAAACATTTCTGAAAATGATTAAAAAACAATTTAGGCCCAAAATGAAAGAAAATGTCAGATCCATCATGATCAGTATTGTTGGAAGTTGTTCACTAAATCAAGTGAGTTATAAAGAGAAGTCATGGAGTATGCGTTTCAAGAAATGTTGAACCCTATTGACAGGTGTTCTATTCTTGAGAGATGTGTTTTTCATAAAGGGTTTAAATGTAATCAGTACTTCTCAGTGTACCTTAACAATGTTTCTTGCATCTATCTATTCTTTTCCAAAGTCACGTAAACATTTCTATTGATCCTCTTTCTTAAGTTTCTACTCTGTATTGACACAGCTTTGTGCAGCGATTTTGCATATACTTCAATTGGTTTATATTTGAATCTGTTTTGCTTGGCAATGTATATTTTATGTTCATGTTGCGATAAATGTATTATGCCAACCTAACACACAGTGTACATTACGATAATAGTGACTGCATACTATATTATAGTAAAAATTGAATTGTATATTATATATATGGTTGTTACTGTTTCACTAGGGCATCAATACCATTTTATTATTTTCTTTGTTAAAAGGACTATTGCGCATGGCAGGCAGCTGATGGCAGGTTAACACATATTGAATATTGCAGAAATCAATTTCCTATTTTATTTTAAAACTAGCATGTAAATACATGATGTGAGCTAAACTTTGCTGTTTCTAACATTAAAATATATTAATTTAAATAGTTCAAGCTCTTATTGAACTAGTTTTAGATCTTACTGGAGATAAAGGTGCCTTGTTTTATTGACCCAAGCCCGGGGATTATTAAATAGTTTGGAGGCAAGAGAAACAGAATGTTTGTGGATAAGATTATAGCTTTACTATATATGGCGTATGGATTACAGTTTAAAGAAGTTGTACAATGTGGCCTAGTTTGGTATTGTGGTATAAAACCTTGAACTTGTGAGATTGGACAGTGCGAGTTTAAGTGGTATACTTCATTAAGAGAACTTGAAAATATAGACTTGTGATAGGTTCAAATTACAGGTTAACCTGAACTACAGATTCTATTCTAACGGATATTATATATTTAATGGAGTGGAACCCGTGTTGAAAAACTAATATCAAGGCTAAAAATGATGTTTTTCTATACATTAATAGCACACAGTTTATACACTTCAGTGAACAGTAATATACATAAATAGAAACACATGTAAAAATTCAATTAGAACACCTTAACCTTCCGACAACAAAAGCAAATGATTTTATTAGGAGGAATTAGGCAATCTGAACAGAAAACACCAAGAGAAAAGTTTTAAGGCAGAGAATATACAAAGAACAAACTAAAATTATTCGAAATATGGAAAGTTATGCAGTAACAACACCAGAGAGACAATCACATTGGAAGGAACGTTTGAAAATATTATTCAAATTTCGAAAAGCTTTGATTTTAATTTTGGCTCCAATCATCTTCTTGCCTTTGATTATAATTATTCCCACAAGGGTGAGTGTATAAACTGTACATACTGTGTAAGAAGGCATTCCTATTGTACAGGTTTAAATATATGCTGTCATTTAGTCTTTCCTCAGTACTGGGCACCCCCCCCCCCCATATGTACTTTGCCGTGTGTTGGGAAGGTAGAGGTACACAGTCTTGAACTAAGGCAAGACTAGTTGTCATTTGACCATTAACCTCATGTTACTCATAAGAGAATTTATCATTTTAGAGAAAGGGCCTGTTGCTTTAGTTGTCAGTTACATCGAGAATAATAGTATTCATTTATTTTATTTATTGATTTTATTAAAGTGTCACCTATTGTACAAATGTTCCTTGGTAAGGTAAGATGATTTGTGGAAATTTTGGATTCTTGCAAATGTGTGACTGTTGCAATCCTACTCCTTGAAACTTTCAAAAATTAGCCTCATTTCACAATCTTCATGCTAGCTTTGGGGACCTATTCACCTCCAATTCATAGTTATGAAAAATGCGTTTAAATGTGAAGTTTTCTTTGACATGTCTCTTTAGTCAGGAAATGCATTCACATATAAGGAAAACAGATACACAAAATCTTGTAACTTTATCAAAAAAATATGGCTCCCATTTTTTGGCTCATTTGTACTTTTGATTAACTTTAGCGTTACCTTAACAATGTATCATCAAAGTTTTGATTTAGAAATGGTTTTACCATTATGATTAATCAAAATTGTCACACTTTCTCTGGGAATCAACACTTATCCATAAATAATTATTATGTCATCACCAAGAAGATGTGACATCAACTATTGTTACAGCCATTACCACTGGCATTCAGTATTTTTAACAAGTTGTTACATTTTTCTAATTTCAGCTAGGCTTGGGTGGTTACTTTATGTCATGTTAATGCCTTATTCATTTTTTGTTTTATAATATGGTTACATTATGGTGTTGAGATGTTATGAAACCAATCTGCTTAATTTTTTACATGATCAGTACCATTTCAAAACCAAACCATATTGTTGTTTTGCGGATTGAATTGATATTCTAGTATAAAGATTTGGCAAAGCATCAGGTCCTTTTATACAAAATTGCCTTTTGTAATTCCAACCTGTTATTTAATATTAGTTTGCCATATCCTTATTGGTAACAATTCCATAAACACAAAGCGTTAATGGATAACTTATCATTTGGAATAGTAACAAATCAAAAAGTTATCAGAAATTATCTTGAAGAATATGTTTTTTGTGATATATGACATATAATCTTTATAAAGTGGGTTATAAGTTTCATGATGTTAACAGAGGAAATTAATTACACCACAAAAAATGTTGATTAAAGGGATAACGTCAAATGAATGCATTTATTCTTTTGGTGAAGGCTGAACTATTACTTAACTTCCAAAAACTAGAACTTGTAGCCAATTTTCTCATATTGTATTTATTATTGGAGGGAAAAATGATTTGTACATATATGTGAATTCATTTTTTTCATTTTGAACGATAAAGGCATATCAACAGCATTTTAGTCTAAAATGAAATGATAACCTTTCTTTTCATTCATGATGTTACAAATATGTTTAAGATACCTTTTATCTCGCATTAACACTTTAAATACAAATACTGAAACCCTTTATCTCATATTAACACTTTAAAATTTAGTTTAGTTACCATTAAGATATAACATGTCAAATTACCTTAAAGTGAACTTATCTGATTTATGCCACTTAATTACTTAACCTGGATATTTTTTATCCTTTCTCAGATCCAGTTCAGATTTGAGACATAAGGATGGATCATTAGATGGGGGAGGGGGATTTTTGGATTCTGAATATTTTTTTCTTATTTTTGCATAAAATATAATTCCTACCCTACTAGTACTACAGATTACTGTTGTCTGTACACAAATTCATATTTTAATGTGAGAAAATTTGTTGTTTATTCAATAATATGTTAAGGCTTAGGCGTTCACCCCCCCCCCAGTAAGATCAAAGAACCAGCCCTGTAACTATACAATCAAGTATGTTTTCCAAAAAGTCATACCCACGTCACTACTCAATTAACTGCGATCCCAACTATGAAACACAAAATATCCTTGCAAATACACTCCCTATCATATATTTGGCAACCAAAAGTCTCCTTTAGGATCACTTATCAAAACCTCCTTATGTAGGACATTTTTTGAAAAAATCATGAAATTAGTCATAAATTTTCAAACTATTGTAATTAAGGAATAAGATTATTATTCAAAGATTGACTGGTTTTGATATGCTATAGAGGGAAGTGAAGCGCAGGATTAAGATATAAAGATACAGTCTTTGCACAGCCAAAAGAAAACAGAAAATGTATGAAACACAGTCGTGCTAAAGCCATTTCTGCATAACTGAATATGTTTCTAATGAATTTATTTGAGGGAAAAAAACAAAGTCCTGCTAAAGCCATTTCTGCATTAAACCTGCACATCGCTTTAAAACACAATCTTGGGTTATTCCGGGGTCAACTGTAAAATTTTGAGCTTTAATGAAAGATTATACAATGGTAAACAAATGGAGCAAATCTTGTTTAAAATACTCACAATGAATGTGTAATTTTGAGGATTGTTCCATAGATTGATATTTGAAGGTTTCTAAATTTAGAATATGACATCACTTCCTAATTAGAACCTTTCAAATAATACACTTAATTTACTCTTAAAATTATTGAAGAACTGGCGGTGGTCTAGTGCAAAAATGCTTGCTTGTCTGCTACGTTGATGCATGAAGTTATTTAACTAAATGGTAGCACTTTTATATTATGCAGAAAAAAAATAAAACCACACCAACTTTTTATAAGAGGATTAATAATCATGCTGGTTGCATGAAAATGTAAAAATAACACTAGTACATGTCATGTTTTACATAAAACGATGTGCAGGTTTAATAAAGAAGAAAAACTGTTTGGAACAGATTGCGTTTAAATAAACATCATGGTAAGCGATTTAACTTCTGGGCAATATTTGTGGTTTATACCATGCATGAGCTTTCAATTAGAGTTGAAGTTTATACAGACTTTGACATTCTCACTGCCACTATACTATGTTTTGATACACATATTGAATCATATATCATTTTTAACTCATTGAATGAGAAAGCACAAAAGGCAACATCTGAATTACAATGGAAAATCAACCCCTTTAATTGGCTTTAAACCATATACATGTTACCAATTGTATAGTACATGTAGTATGCAAATTCCATGTAACATGAACATACTGTATATTGTTATTTCAGCCAGCAAAATGTGCTTATGCTATCTTAGTGATGGGGGCATATTGGGTGTCAGAGGCCCTGCCTATTGCGGTGACTGCCCTGTTGCCCATAGTCATGATGCCACCACTTGGAGTCATGGGCTCAAAACCATTGTGCATGAACTACCTCAAGGTTAGTATGGCTAAATTCACATATAGGAAACAGCTAGAGAAGGTGAAAACTCTGACCAACTGGATTTGATTTATTGACAAGTGTGGATGGATGGAAGTATTCTATAGCCCCCCAAAAGTACACTTTCCATTTGCTCTGTGGAACTTTATTTATTTTCAAACATTTTAAATAAAATAGCCTACAGGAATATAAGATTGAATTATCAAGTACTGTCCAACATTGTAATTGTTAGGTTTTTATTAAAGGCCCCATGCAAAGTTTGAATAAGAAGTTTGAATTTAAAAAAAAAGTTGATAAGACTTCAAAAAGACAATTGTTTATCAACAGATGCATATGCCAAATATTACATAAATGTTATCATTAAATATTATTCATTACATTTGGTAACCTTATACCGGTATTACTAATTTCAGGACACTAACTTTTTGTTTGTTGGTGGGCTGATAGTGGCAGTAGCTGTTGAGAGGTGGAACCTTCATAGGAGAATGGCACTGAGGGTACTCTTATTGGTGGGCTCTAAACCTCGCTGGTAAGGAACAATATATTGGTGTATTCCTATAGGCTTTTATTATGTAGAGTGGTGGATGAAAGACCACACATTTCAGCTTACAAAAATTTTAAAAGGATGCTACTTTTAATCTGTAAAGTTATAATTACATTCGTATTTCTCCAATTCACAATTTCGTCATGCTGTTATATTTACATGTATATGTATAGTGACTCTTGATAGCAAGTTGTTACTATGGCCCAGCTGTAGTGGCCCTTCTGGCTCAACAGGAAAGTACCTTATTTTGGAGTTCCCGCATGGTGCATTAATTTAGGACACTCCCTTTCATGTCCAGTATATGGCTTGTTACACTATAGCTCCCCAGAGGCGCCTTGGGTCATTACATATGCATGTACATTGCATGGAACATTATATATTATTCTATTGAATTGCATATAACATGTACACAGGTTCTACTGTATAAGTAATAAAAAAAAATTTCCAGGCTGTTGTTTGGGTTCATGTCAATGACTGCATTCCTCTCCATGTGGATCAGTAACACTGCAACTACAGCAATGATGACTCCAATAGCAGCTGCTGTGCTTACTCAGTTAGGGGAATGCAGACACCCAAAACAGATGAACGGAGAAGGTAAGTAGTTGCAGCAAACAATAGAGAGTAACATGTCGGAAGCCATCTTTTATAAAGAAAAAGGCATGCCTCTTACTAGGGTTTTGAAATTCATAGCAGCCTGACTGCCAATGGCAATCATATTTCACTCTTTGTAATCAACTTGAAAGAACAAGTTGCCTATTTGACATTGAACTGAATGCCAATGTGTAAAATGGGCAATCATGTTTCAACCTCAGTTGTGGACCAGTTACTTATTTATTATCTGATAAAGAATTATCTGATCAAATATAGACGTTTTTGAAGGTTAAACATATTTAAATTGTATTTCCTTACTTTGAACAGCACTTTTCCTAAAAGTAGGTTTTTAGTTTTTTTATGTTTTATTTCATTTATTTACAACACAAAGACCTTGTTTGTTTCAGCAAAAAATGACAAAGAAAAGGAATCAAATATTGACGACGTAGATGCAAATGAAAGCAAGACACCAATGCTAGAGGAGGATGTTGCCGTAACCATCATGGATGCCAGTAATGGTGCAAATCACCAAGAAAACAGCCTGACTGATAAAGAATATGATGATATGTGTAAGGGAATGACACTGAGTATAGCTTATGCAGCAAACATTGGTGGGATGGCTACACTAACTGGTACAGGTCCAAACTTGATTTTAAGTGGAAATGCAGAAAGGTTAGCTAACATTGATGTTAATGTACACAACAACATATTTTTTCTGCTGATGCGGTTTTAATATATTTAGCTGTTGAATTACTCTTTCATCAGTTTTAATATGTTTAAAGAGCGACATAATAATACTCAAAAATATTTAATGACTGGAAGTGCATTCAAAGGAAGTTTTTGTTGATGCATTATTAAATATATTAACCTATATAGAATACTCCTTTGATAGTTTAGGAGCAAAATAATAATAAAAATGTAGCATTTAAAGAAATACTCTACCAGAGGTATTTTAGTGATGGAGTATTGAGTATTAAATATTCAAGATAGACGTTGATAATGTTATATTTCATATGCTACCAGATTACATTACTGATAAATAATCCACACTTAATGATGTTGTTTGTCTCAGTTACAGTAAAACCTCTGTGGATCACATTTGGTACCTCTAATAAAGTGTGGGAGAAGTTCATTTAACATCAAGAAAATGTTCAGGATAGAACTCTGAAGTGAACCACTCACTAAAGCGTTCCTCTAACTGAGGAACTCCACTTAAAGAATTGTTCCACTTATAACAGGTATAACTGTATTTCAGTATGTTTGGAGAAGAGGCTGGGATCAACTTCAGTTCATGGTTCGTGTTTGCATTTCCTACCATGTTACTATGTCTCCTGGTTGCTTGGATCTGGCTTCAGTTGAAATACTTAGGTTGGAGGTAAGTTTAGTTACCGCTTTCTTCGTCAATGGGTTAAAGTTATTTAACAAGGGGAGGTGCTTCCATAGAATGGCAAAATGCTGAACCTGGTGTAACACTTGCTAAATCTAATGCTCTGTATGGGAATCAAACCGACCCTCAAATACAAATCCTGATACTTTACGAAATGAGCTTTCAAAGATTAAGCCAGGATAGCTGAGTAGTAGTAGCAACTTACAATCAAGTGTTGTAACAGTTATATTTACATATTTGATGTAACTAGTATTGAGTTTATCCAACATAACTGTGACATAATGCATTTGTATATCTAAAAGTTAAGTTTGGGCCCCTATACCTTTTGTATGACAATTGTGTCTCTTTTATACAAGGTATAACAAGTCAAATACACCAATGATGGGATGGTGTGGTGTGGTGGAAGGTGAAAGAATGTATTTTGCCCTTTTATTATTAAATTCATTTGATGTTCTGTCTCTGTTTCAGGACACTGTGTGCCTGTTTTCTGAAGACCAGAGAAGTATCAGATGAAAGAGTCCATCTTATAATTAGAAATGAGTACAACAAACTGGGACCTATGACGTAAGCATTTTGACTTTTTATATTCAATTTAATATGGCGAGGGGTATTTAAGCTACCGTATGTGTGTTTGAATTTAATCTCTTAACTTTCTGGCTTAATTTAGAATGAAGCATTTGTAAACAACTTCCTAATTCCTCTCCAACTTGATGGTTAAAAAGAAGTAAAGCTAATATTATAGCCATCCTGTCATTCTATTTCCATCTTGAAATCATGAGAACTTAATAAAAGTGGGAAAACAAGAGATATGGTAATATTTCTTTTATTCATATATTATTATTATTATTATGAGCTTTATTATACTTGTATCCCACATTTGGGCAAAGTGTACAGCTTCACACCCGGTGATCGTGAAAATGGGACGGAGGGGGGGAGCAAGCAATTTCTGGTAGAAAAATGAACAAATCTGCAAAAATTATTTTTTCAAGAAAAGGTTTATGATTTAATTGCTAAACGAATAGGCGCACGGTATGGTAAAATATGTTGCATATTCTACGAATTTTTTTTAGCCGATTCTCTTCTTAGGTATAAGATCTATTAAAAAAGGCGCAACGCCACCAACGTGCAAAAGTCAATGTTTTTGCTTTAAATCAAGCATCAACGGTCTACACAACCTGCAATAAATATTTGTAAGTGACATTATCATCATAAAATTAATGACCTTAATGACTTTAAAAAATATGTTTCCATACGTTGTATAAAAAATAATCGAAAATAATTAAAATGGGACGGAGGGGGGGAGGGGACGGAGGGGGGGAGCAATATGTCTATAAGATATGATATGAGATGTTACTTGATACTTTATATCCAGATTTTCCCATTATCTCCTCAATTACAAAGGGTCAGGAATTGATAACATGTTGTACTTGTTAGGTTTAGTTAGAGGGGTCAAATTAAGGATGGCAAAATATTCCAGGAGACTGTTTATCTATAAATGTTTACCTGTCTTAACGTTTTTACTTGCTGATTTGTAGGCATATCATAAACAGCACATCACACTTTGGACATGTATTGTATTGTATTGTATTGTTATTCACAGCGAAGTAACAATCTACTTGTTATTAATTATGCGATATATTTTAATTATGCAGAATTGAATAAATACAAGAAGCTCACGCGTCTCCAACTCACGACCTGATGGTTATGACGTCTTTGTCAAGCTGAGATTCTGGCGCTGTAGACTGCTAGGCCAACTGGCAATGCCAAAAAAACATGTTCCATCAGCCGATCTGACTAGAGAATTTACACTTAATAGTCTGCTAGGAAGGTTCCCAGTGAATGTGCCACATTCATGCCATTGGTGCAACCCCTATTACGCCAAAGAAGCTTAACAAGTCATTTTTTGAAAATGAAATAAAAATTTGTTAATTATTTGAAAATTCTTTTGTGTGCTTATTAAATCAGTAAGCCATATCTCATCCGGAAAACTTGCATGTCCAAATAGAAATATGATGCGATGTCTACATTTTTATGATAAGTCTTCAAAAAATAAAAACTATTATACACATAAAAAGATAAACGCTCTCCTCCAAGATTTTGATAATCCTAAATAAATCTAACTACGAATACAACTTGTTATCAATTCCTAACCCATTGTAATTGAGGAGAAAATGGGAAAATTTGGATATAAAGTGAAGTAACATCTCTCATCATGTCGTATAGACATTTTGCTCCCCCCCTCCGTCCCCTCCCCCCCTCCGTCCCATTTTAATTATTTTCAATTATTTTTTATACAACGTATGGAAACGTATTTTGTAAAGTCATTAAGGTCATTAATTTTATGATGATAATGTCACTTACAAATATTTATTGCAGGTTGTTTAGACCGTTGATGCTTGATTTAAAGCAAAAACATTGACTTTTGCACGTTGGTAGCGTTGCGCCTTTTTTAATAGATCTTATACCTAAGACGAGAATCGGCTAAAAAAAATTCGTAGAATACGCGACATATTTTACCATACCGTGCGCCTATTCGTTTAGCAATTAAATCAAAAACCTTTTCTTGAAAAAATAATTTTTGCAGATTTGTTCATTTTTCTACCAGAAATTGCTTGCTCCCCCCCTCCGTCCCATTTTCACGATCACCGGGTGTGAGCTTAAACAGAAAAAAATGAAAAAGCTTAACTAATTATCTATATAGTATATTAACTAATCAAAGGGTGCTTGATCATTGCAAGATTTTATTGGATGCATTTCATGTTTTTTTCTCTCTCAATAAAAATATTAGATATATATTTTGCTAGTATATTTAATATTATTCCCTCTGAATTAAATAGAAACATTAATTTATGTTCCACGTTATTCATGTTTTCTAAATTTTGACAGTGTTTTTTTATTTTATCCATATAACTTGACCGAACATCTTTTAACTTATTGCATTCTAATAGGAAATGGCATTCTGAACCGGTTTTCTTTTTACACATTAAACATTTTCTTTCTTCAATAGGGGTAATTGGTTTTGTGTGACGACCTGTTTCGATTATATATTCATATATCTAACCTTTACACTGTCTTAAAAGCTTTGGTTGCCAATAGAGCATCCAATGAGAAAGTACAGGGTGACCCAAAAAAGCAGAACCCATAACCTTTACTCCAAGATTTATGGGTTCTGTTTTTTAGCCCGCCCTGCAGAAGAGCAACATTTGAAAACCATATTATCCCCTTCAATCCATTGTCCATTGTCAGCTTGAATATGAAGCACAATGTTTTAATAACTGTCCTTGGACATGCATTCATGGTGCTCTGTGGTTGTTAACTGCACAATGTCATCATCTGGGGTCTACCTCTCTGAAAGCACAAAGAGTAATATTGTATGTTAACAAAAGAAAACACAAGGAGATTACAGAGCAATTAGTCAAATAAATCAAGGTAGTTATTTACACTGGCAAAAGATGGCTCCATGGTCTAGCATAGCAACATTAATTTAAAGTGTTCATTTTTAGAACTTACTGTGACATCACATTTTCGAAAAATAAGTTCTTTAGTCTAGATAAATACATAATTTGGATGGATTCAATAAATTATACCTAATAATCCATAATGTATTTGTTGTACATTTCTACATTATTTACAAAATACGAGACAGACTTCAAAAGGTACATAACTAGTTTTTAGCTGTAGTTTAGATCTTCAAAATAAATAAGTGAAAATAAAGTGAAACAAAAAGAACACTACATTGTGTTACTAATAATATAAAAGAACTCCAGTAGAAACATACAATAAATCAAAAAAATGTGTTCTATGAAGAGCAATAATAAAAAGTACATGATGACCTATGATTTTTATTTTCTTAAAATAATCTCAATAGTCTATAAGTTATTAAATCATTAGTGTATACCCCCTATATTATACATATTTATGATTTTAGCTTTGCAGAGATCGCTGTGCTGTGCCACTTTATACTGCTGGCTATTTTATGGTTCACTAGGAACCCACAATTCATCCCAGGATGGTCAAGTGTCTTTGAAGAAGGGTGAGTGCCTCTTAACATAATATTGCCTCGTACCATTCAGATGGGATGTTGGTAAGTATATTATTAATTTTATATGGGGACTTATTCTTCATATTTATTAACAATCGACATATGACTATATGACTCCTAGACTAGACTATGTAATTAGGTTTTGGGAAAAGCTAGGCCCCAGTATTCCTTAGTATGTAATAGACTGTAAAAATCCGCTCCAGGTTTGTGACAGATGCTTCCACAGGGATGACAATAGCAGTGTCTTTGTTTATTTTTCCATCGAAGAAACCTAAAATCTTCTGCTGCAAGGCTAAAGGTGAGTAACCATGGTAACTTGTTGTATTCAATAAAATCCGTGCCAAACATAAATGTGTGTTTTGTGATTGTCATTGCAGTGCTTACAAGTCATCATTATTCACAAATATCCACAACACTAATTACAAGTAGCTTGGAATAAAATAATCAGTGCAAATCTGTCACTGGGTAACCATGGTCACAATAAAGAGTCCCAACTGTCTGTTGTAGAAGAGGAAGCAGAACCTGTCCCTGCTTTGCTTGATTGGGAAACATTCCAGAAGAACTTTGCTTGGAACATTCCATTTGTACTCGGGGGATCATTTGCAATCGCTGATGCATGTGGGGTAAGTAATATTGTAGTACATATACTTACATATACATATGCTTTTACAAATGCATTACTGAATATTCTGTTATTCATGCTTTTAATCTATTCCTGTTCTATGTTTGCATTACTTTAAACTATACCAGATGCAGAGAACATGCAGAATTCCTTAATCAAGAGAATGCTAGGGTCAATCAACACAAAGAAATCAAAAAATTAAAACAACAATAACCCATTATAAGTAATCAGATATCACAACTATTAAAATAATGTAATAAAAGAAACACAGCGTCAACACCTGGAAAAGTGTAACAATTGTTACAGATGTCATGGTTGAATTCTCAACAATGTGATGAATTAAACATCAAACTCAGAAATTGCTCATGTTTTTCTTTATTCAATGCAGGCATCTGGTTTATCACAATGGTTGGGAGATAAGATGGCTGTGTTTGCTGAAGTGCCAGCATGGGCATTTGTTATTATCATCTGCACTGTGATTGGTCTGTTCACTGAGATCACCAGTAATACAGCAACTGCCTCTATATTTATACCAATTCTAGCTCAGTTGGTAAGTCTTTTACTCATTCTAGTATTCGTAATAATCATTATAAGTATAAATATTTAAATATAAATTGTGGAACATATGATTGTGTGAAAATCACAGCTTATCTTATTCAAAATACATAATTTGCATCACTTGTCAATAGAAAATTGGTCCAATGTACATTTAAATTGAAAAGCTCAATTAGATTAAGTGGTATAATCTTACAAATATAACACTCATTTTTAGAAATAACAAGCATGCCTTCACTTGTGTTCCAATAGTGGATATATTTCTAAATGTTTGGAGGGGGTGTACATGGGTACAGACTTCATTTTTCCAATAATTTCGTAGTTTTAGTTAAGCTATTTTGTGATAATTTTATGATACAAAGATGTCACTACAGTATACAACAGTTCTGAATATTTTAAAACAATGAGGCCTGCCTATCATTCTGTTATTTATTCAAATATTATAGCAGTGTATTTTAAAATTAAAATCTTTTTAATTTCTAATGAGAGAGTATAATGGGCAACAACATGAAAATGAATCCCTATAAACCATTAAAATGATACAATACAGATTGTACAATATGTACACACAAGTGCCAAAGGAAAATGACCAAAAATTGTCACAGAACTCAGCAAAAAAATGTAAGGGTACACCAATCATAAGGAAAACAAAACCTAAATATCCGAAACCATAATCCAACATGAAAAAAACAATGTCTAATACCAATAATACTACCCCACCAACATAAATTTGGAAGGGCAAAACTTTCTTTATAATTTCTTGTGGTGTGATCTCCTTAATCTTGAGTTTTTGTTCCTTCAGGGAGTTGGTATGGGTGTGAACCCATTGCTGTACATGATTCCAGCAACATTGGCCTGCTCCTTTGCATTCATGTTACCAGTGGCATCACCCCCCAATGCTATTGTCTTCACATATGGAAAGTTAAGGATCATTGATATGGTAAGTTAGCTTGCTCTGTGTTTATTTCATTTTAGCTACAATTATCTCACACGAGACACCAAAAGGTATATTGAATGCTATTTTGAATTTCTTAGTACACAGAATATTTGCTTGATCTTTTTTTTATATTTTTACAACTGGCTAATGATACTCTTAGGCTACTTTGTACAAATTTTCAGTGAATTTGGTTCATCGGTTGCCATGAAAATACTTGTCAAAAAGTGTCTCATTTTTTGGGACACCCGATATATGTGCTGACGACAAAGTTCTAATAACTAGTGCCAGCCTTTTATTGAGTTAGCAGCACTCTGAGCTGGTTTGATCCACCTAAGGCTTTTAATCATTGAAATGGGCCTGAATATTTTTAAAGGGTTTCAATGTTTTAATGGATTTTCCAAAATTATAAATTGTCAAATGTCCAACCATCCTCTTGTCAGTATCTGGCCCCACCAATGATGTTAAGTTAATGACATATTAGTTGTAGGGGTGGGACGGATAACTGAAATACCGAAAAACCGCGGTTCATAGCCTTCGGATCGGTTTTCGGATCACGGCCCTACTTTCGGATCAGCTTTTCGGATCGTTTTCGGATCAATATTTCATTGGTCAAGTATCAATAAAACAGTTAAAAACACTGTTTTACAGCAACATTTTTGATATTCCTAGTCCCTACCTTGTCTGTCTTGTCTGTTGCTAGCTCACTCGCTTACTAGATTCGTTTCGTATCCACGTAGGCCCCTATTCGTATCCCTCGGTAATCAATCATGTGGTCCCTGGTACTATATTCTTTAGTCGTGTATTCTAAATAATATGCATTGTTCATGAAATATTATAACATAAAATTCCATCTATAAAATATTGTTATAACGTGGCATAATTGATACAAATCATGTCAATCAATACAAATCCTTAAAATGAATGAACCGAACCGAAAAAACCGAACCGACGGCTGATGATCCGAAAAACCGAACCGAACCGAAACGAACTGTCCCATCCCTAATTAGTTGGTTCACCCATTCAACTCCATCTGTCTTTAACATAACCAACTTGTTTATGACTGAAAAGGTAGCGTATGTGTTTTTGCAGGTTCAAGCTGGCGTAGTTATGAACATTGTCTGCCTGCTTATAGTAACATTCACAGTTCTGACTTGGGGAACTGCATTCTTCCATCTCAATACCTTCCCTGATTGGGCAGCCAACAAAGCTCTACAAACTCTGGGGAATAACACTATAGGAAACTCGACAGGTTTAGATCTGACTAACATTACTGCTATATATAATGGAACTTGTAATCTAATATGTGGATAGATTGTAGGACATGTTTAATTTTGTGTTCTATTGTACATGGTTGAATTTTTGAATTTTAGTAAAAAAGTTTGTTTTGGTCATATACTAGAATAGTATGACTGTGACTCTAATGCATTCCGGATTGCTGAAAGATCTTTTTAAAAAAACAACAATGGCCATTCTTTTTGTAACAAAAATGCAACTATCAACTGATATGAAATTAGTTGGGCTATTATGTTGACGCTCTATTTGATATAATGATGTGCAGTCAAGGTCCCTATTACAATATGGTTTCTTTTATGATCAATTTCCAAATATGGACATAATAATTTGAAATATTGCATTGAATTGTAAATGGTTTAATGAAAAGGCTGATGGAACATATATTTTTTATTTTTAAAATGAATTTTTAACCAAAATTCAACTGCACACATGAATGTGCTTCAAATGTTTTATACAATTTAAATATCTTACTGCTGGATATGGAACTTTGTGCTGTTTATATATAAATAAATGAAATTGTAAATATTAACAATACTTTTCTTTTATTGATTGATGTTTTCTACATAGAACAATATACAATATTAAATTTGACTAACATTATACTTCTATGTACAGTGTAGTATGTGGTGGATATATTATACAGACCTGTAACCGGTATTTGCCAAAGGGTGGAGGGGGGGGGGGGCAGTTTTAAAAAATTCCAGAGCGTTTAAATTTGACAATTTTACCCAGAATCACTTGAAAAGTGCTCAAAAAGTTAAAAAACTGCATGATTTTGAAAGAATTCGTGGCTAGGAGAAGCTCACTTGAACCCCCCGACCCTTTGGCTACGAGACTGTTAGAGGAAATGTTTACTTACTACTATGATAGTACAGTAATTGTATGCATGTAGGCTTAAGATTACAGATAAGGTACAGTTTTAATTAAATTTTGTATTAAACATCCCCCATATCATGCTGCATCATATTTATCAAAAATGAGTATCACCGACTACATTTTTTATTTAATAGTTCATTCATCAGACTTTTACTTATTTATAGATATATGTACAATATTATCGATAGCATTACTTAAAAAATGATATTATAAGTTCCTCCACCTGCATTCATGTCAAATGTGCTATATTACAAAATTTATCTGAATGAAAGCTGAAATCTCAGCAGATCATTGCTCTTTATACCTAAATACCTACTATAACATGAGACTGTGTTATATTGTGTATACAACTACCTTAAGACAGAATGTTTCTTTAGATTTACTTTGTAATTTTAGTGCAAAATTGGTGAAGTGTTGCACAATAACTGTGCAAGGGTATCACATTTCCTTATCATTGGATAGCCTGTTAGAAATTGATTTTTCATTAAAACATGAAATTGCAAATTAGACGTTAATGATTTTCTAAACTACATGTACTTGTACTTAACAAGCACTGACAAATCTTGGTGATGATATATATGTTTGTGATATAAAATTGCAAAATTAAACCTGTACATAGGACATGCACAAAAATTGGATTGAAATGACAATAGGTCATTTTACCTCATACCCTCTTACATCACATAAGCATTCATGCTTAACCAACAACATCATTATCCTCATTCCCAGATGTCAAGTAGTCCCTTAATTAGCTAATTTTCTTTTATTGCGGAAGTTAATGAAAGCCCATGTTACCCATTTAGGTAATTTGTTGATGGATCACATATTCCTCAAGCGTGCCTTCTTTCTTGACATTTCTGAGCTTAACCCTTATATTCATTGTCACAATATGTATATATTGCAAAAGAGTTCCCTTGTAAGTGCTTGTTCTGTCAGTTCTGATGAAACCAAAATAAATTCAGTTTGCAATATGAATATCAGACTTCACATACTTGCCGTCTACTTGATAAATGTTCTCTATAATTCAATATATTGGTGAAACATCCTCTTTGACTTCCTGTGCAATATCTCTTTGATAGTTGAAGGTTATCTTAGGAAAAACTTCGCCATAAATAATAACATTAAGTAAACATATAATCAGATTCCTAGAACCCTTAGAGTCAAGCCTTTATTAGTGTATTAACTTTGATGAATAATACACAGACAATATGAGATCAAAAGAAATACATTTAGTCGGAAATAATGGGAACAAAACCCTGGGCAAAACCTCTAAATTAGAGACTTATGATTTAAGTTCTAACCTAGCTTTATAAGAAAAATGAGTTTTCTTGACTTTTATAGCAGTGAGCAACTTTATTAAATCAGAAAAGATTCAGTAGTTCATATATTAAATCATATTTTTGTGACACAAATGTTTTTTGAAGAATCTGTATATTGAAGAGAAATTATATTAAGTCTAGAGTAATTTACCATCACAGAGAGGTGTTTCATTTTACAAATGCAATTTTTTTACATGGTCCCCATTACTTATTGTTGTTCGTTCTTTTTAGCTAATGGTATTGCACTGAATATATTTATGTAGGCTCACCAATCTGGTTTGCAACTAATGATTCATTTGCAAAATATGAACAAATCATACTTCATAAGTATTTCAATACATAATATTATATCAAACAATATTATAAATTACATACACAATTTAAAGTTGATATATTAGTTGAATCTTTGTAGAACTAAATTTTTTTTTTATAGATATGTACATTGTTTATTTTAAAATGTATTGTTTTTAATACATCCTAATAAGTATGAAACATACAAGTTGATAATACAGACATACAAGGGCCAATCAAAAAGTTTCTTACTGTTGGCTCTAGATTTTATAATAAGAGGAGTTGGCTGCTCAAACTTTTACATAAGACAGGGTAGTAAGTTTGCTTGAGACTGTCTGAGTTTTGGAAATTTCTAACACTAAGTGGTGTCATCTGTCAACAGACTGTAGTTTAATCATCTTTAATTAGTTTTTCTGCGAATATTCATTCTCATTCAAAATATTCAACCCCAGTTGATATTTGAGAGGTTTGAAATGATTTCGGTTAATTTCCAGAGCCACAACTCAGCAGATATTTTATATATAATGCTGCTCCACCTAACTTTGTCATTGAAAATATGAATTGACTCTGCGTCACTACCAATAAACCAATTTACATGAAACTCGTAGTGAGTTTCAAGCAAACTAACTATCCTGTCTCATGTTAAAGTTTGAGCTCCCAACTCTTACTATAAAATTGACAGCCGACGGTAAGAAACCTTTTGATCGGCCCTTGTATGTACTCAGTATATATCTAAATTGATTTCTTACCAAACCGATTAACACACCTAAATGCATTCGACATTTACAATGTTTTATAGAACTTTGTAACTTTATGTAATACATAAAATATATATCATATGTATATACAATATATTTTCAATATTGTATATAATGGAAATGGTAAGTGCAAGAAATTGAGCATTTGAAGACCACAAATAAAATAGCTACACAATCTACTGTACATCATGTAAAATTCACTACATCTTATCTAGATTTTACAGAATTTAAGAAGTTAGCAGAAATACAACACATTGGGTGATATAATTAATAATCTGTAGCCTGACATTGAAAATGATATATCAAAATTCCCTTCTAAGTCCTTAATTAAATGTCAACTTTAATGTCAACTTTATAATTCTCATCAGAATGTCAACTTTATAATTCCCATCAGAATCCAAGAGCTTTTACTTTTAAAATTTACCCTTACAATCCAAACTGTAAAATGTAAACATCTCCATTTCTATGTTTCCCTTGTTACATGTCACACCCATACAGCCGTATACTCATTTTTAAACAATGGCAAATAATTTCAATAGAATATACATTCTAGATACAGTATTGTATAATGATAATACTATAAGTAAGTACATGTAGTATCTAATATTTTTTATAACTGAAATGATAAAGCAGAAGGGCAACTTTGGAAAAGCAATGCAACACAAACCTCTGCAATTCATATCAATCAAATTAAACCAATATGATGCTCCCTACAAATATTGAATTCAAGAATTATTTCATACATTCATCATTTTTTGTTGTCATAGTTCTGGGACATGCTCATTTATTCTCTGTACCATTTTTTTTATTAACATCTGACATTTGACTAATGTAAATGCCATAAGTTAAAAATTGTGCTTAATAATATAAATAGGAATAGAATTATTATGAATCAGTCATGAAATAAACTTTACAGCGCTTTCTACAATATAAATAATATGGTTTTTAACTGCCAACTACGCAGACATTAGACACCAGATTTTACTTATATTTTTTACATTATATATCACATTCAGTTAATATTGTCACTTCAAAGTGCAAAAATGGTTTGCTTTTTGAATATGAGGGATTTTTCCCTCTAACAATCTGGCAGCTCCTGTTCAATATCGAATTCTTGTCTTGAGTCTAGAAATCTTTCATATGGTAAATTAGATTGAACTCTTGGTTTTCGCTTTGGTGATTTCTTGTTCCTTCTTATCTTTTTACGCTTTTCTCTTCTGTAGCAATGCAACCAAGCAAGTCCTGTGATCATTATACCGAGCATCACTATGATAACGGTACCAGTTATCACAGCCCCTGTTGTGAAACTTCGTTCGTCCGTTTTACCCAAATATGGTAAATTACGATTAATACTGGGATAGTACATTTTTCTAAAAGTGTTATTGATTTCATTCAATACTTTATGCAAAGTATTGTTACCTTTGGAGGTAATTACAGTATCCTTTTTGGATGTGTTATTTTGTAAAACTGTTGCATTCACCAAATATGTAATTGTCTCAACTGAATGTGCTTTAAAGGGTTTTGAGTTTTTCAATAGTTTATGAGTTGATTTCTGCACAGGTTGAGTATCAGTCACATTCATTGTCTCCTTCAGAGAACTATTTGAGATTCGTAAACCATGTGGCTTAATATGTTTGATCTGATTGAATGCTGGTAAATTTGACCTTGTAAACCAAAGTTGCCGTAAAATACTCTTGTCTTTGAATTCAATCAACTGCCACATGGCATTTGTCTGATTGTAGATAGTCAATAATCCGTAAGATGGTAGCATCCCCTCAACTATCCTATCAATCCATACACCGGGAGTGTTTTGCGAGGGTTTATTTGATTGGTGGATGTCTTCATCCTCGGTTTGGTTACAATAGTGTATTATCAAGTCAAAATGTGGCTCCATACTGCTATTCAATCTGAAAACAAATATCAGATATATTGCTTTTAGGCTATCATCATTCAAGTTAAGTTTCTCTGATCTCAACATTTTGAAAAATGATGTGAGTATACAACCACAAGAGCTACTTAAGAAGGGAAACAAAAACCAAAGAGCATTATGAAAGTTGGCAAGATAAAGAAACCTCTAATGGCACAACTTGTAATGAAAACAAAAACTCATTATCTTGAGCTATGATCTTATCCACAAAGAAGCAATGTTTAATAAGATATGTGTTTAAATCACTTCTTATTTCATCTTGTGCTCAATACGTTTCTGCCAATATATAAATCTACAAGATCAAATCAAACATCAGTGAAATCTCCCATCAATAAAGTACAAACTGCAATATTTAAAAGAGTGCATCACAAAGTAGGCCTATGTGGTTAGTGATATAAGTAATTAAAGCCAAAAGAAAGAACATGTTTTATTCTGAAATGTTGCAACCATATCAAATTATAAACATTATTACGTACATACTGTATATTGTATTCTAACAAACAACAGCTCACAATTTAAATCTCTATGAATTTTTTCTCAATAAATCAAAGATGATAATGACGTATAACCTGTCAGTTTTCATGCTATTTCTGTTAGACAAGACATTAATTAATATTAATAGCCTCATTTGTGTTTGTCACTGTACTTATTTGCCCACTTATAATTCTCAAACTTAAATCCTAACAAAATCAAGAACAACAAAAATACTGCAATTTGTTGTGATTGTAAGATAGTAAATTGGATTTGATTGATGAACAAAGAGGTGGACAATATGGATATTTAGATTAACTTTGGAGTCAATAATGCGTGATAAAATTGTTGAATAGGCGCTGCATTGTGAATTCATGATTCATTGGGATCTTATGAGTTCAAAGATTGAAGTGTTATTTGATTCACTAATGTCAAAGTATTCTGTATATAGAACTTAGCAACACTTGTAAGGAATATACTTGTTTTTCATAGTCTATGACATCTATGTAGAACACATAAGGTTATTAGGCTGGAACCTTTTACACACATCCTTGTATACTTTCAATTTTTCATTTTCTATTTTTGATGTTATTTGAATAAAATATCTTTTAGTGACTTTGAAACATGTCAAAATGTCCCTTGGTGTTATGGTCCCAGGTTGTGATATGTGAGTGTGAGTATGGTGGGGTAGAGTGGGATTATACATTTCTTCTCACATTAGATCATGGATACTGTAAGATGTGTTTTTCCTGTTGTGTTTTGTAACAATTTTAGGTTATTTGCCTCTGGCATAAATATTTACAAAACAACACACATGTAAGTTATTGCAAATAATGTTTTATAATAAGATTTTAATTCTTTGAAATTTAAAATTAAAAAAAAGGTTCACTCTGAATGCAAAAAATTACTTATAAATCATGGAAACGATAATCCAAACTTCATTATAGTAGTGTATACAGTCTTATTATGGAGGGGCATTTTTTCTATGCATCTAGATTTGTTAATACAAGTTACATTAAATGAAGAGCTAGAGGGCATCATAATAAAGAGCATATATACATGTACACTGCACACTAAAGAAGTAAATTAGCAGGCCTACTTCCATTGATAGTTTATATATGTACATTTCACACTAAAGAAGTAAATTAACAGGCCTGCTTCCATTGATGATTTATAGATGTACACTTCACACTAAAGAAGTAAATTAGCAGGCCTACTTCCAATGATGATTTATAGATGTACACTTCACACTAAAGAAGTAAATTAACAGGCCTGCTTCCATTGATGATTTATAGATGTACACTGCTCACTTAAGAAGTAGATTAGCAGGCCTACCTCCATTGATGATTATGACCAAATGAATTAGTAATTTAAATAGAATCATACCTGTCAGTTGAACAGAACTGTGTATTAGTCAGTTTTATATACCATCCTTCAGTGTTGGAATCTGCATGAATGTCGGAACTGGAAGTATACATCATGTTTCAGTATATGATTACACATGTGAAACAAAATATGAGAAATAAACCAATGGTATATAACAAGAAAACAACGGCAACAATAAAGAAAAACATAAATCATAGCCTTCAATAAATAATATGATCAAATAGATTCAAACATATTGATCATATACAGTGTCAAATAGCTTGGAAAATATACAGATAAATGAAATATGGCCAGAACTCCCTGAATCACACGAGGCCACATCATAATATCATATTTACTGCAGATAAGACTTTAATTTGAACGTATTTTTCTAAATAATATTGCACCATGGTCTTGCTTATTCTTTATGTTGGACTAATTGACACAGAAAATGGTTTCAGACCATAAACACCTCAACAATACAAGTCCACTTCATAATATCCACAATGCAGATTACGTGGAGGTGAAAGAACTAAAACAAGACTTTTGTCCAGCCTGACAGTCAGCTAAATACATTTCTTACAATTTCATTAAGTACAAGGTGACCCCAAAAATTGCAACCCTCTAATTTCAGAATCTTTTGTTGGATGTCTAGACAGAAAACATGATTTCTCTCAATCTCAGTCTTAAATGCCACATAAATACACCACTAATTTACACACTAAACACTCTATCAAGACAAGAAAACTCAAAAGGTTTCCATCATAATTAAGATTGAAACGGAATTGGGACATCCTATATGTAGATGATAATTATAATGTTCATCAAAGGCAAATACCATTCATCAAGAATAAAGCTAAGAGTGGCAATGTTCAAGTTCATAAAAAAATAATGAGCGAAGAGAAATTTTCCATTAATACCAATTTCAGGAATTTTTAATGGTGTCTGATACTCAATGTAGCTTGGCAGGTACTTTTGAACTTGAAGTACTATTACATGAAATAATTATTTGGGGTTTTCTCTTGTTTTGATAATGTTGCATTTCATACTCCATGATTTTTATAACAGGGAGATAGAATATATAAGCACAAATGCCAAAGGGAAGGGTGACTAAAAACTTTAAAGAAACCCAACAAGAAAAGCAAACTGTAAGTGTAAATCTGTCATAAGAAAAGTAGACCCTATATATCCCAAAACCATGATCTAACGTGAAAAGAAACAATGTCTAACATCCCCCTCCCCCCTCCAATCGAGAACCAATATCACAATCCAGGACCAGAAGACCAAGGGACATTTCATTCATACTGAAGTCATTACAATACATGTTGAAGAAAAATTGAAAAAGCTGATAGCCAATACTCATAACATCAAAAATAGTTGAAGATACTAGTACTCATAAAAGATAGAGTATTCAGTCTCAAATGACGTGGGATAGATAAAATCCAGTCTCGAAGTCCATATAGGCAATTCAAAGGGTCAACATCCATTTGCAAAGCCGTCATCATAATCCATAAAACACAACAATTCACAATGGTCATCAGGAGAGAACTATGGCTGGTTTCGATCCCTATTTCTCAACCATTAATGCTGGATGGACTACAAAAGGGAAAACAGCAGCTAACAATATCAGTCCATAATGAAGAATAATACATCAAAATAGAAACATGTACAAATTAAAATATGACAGCCAAATTACCATCTATGAACATTCTTTCAAGTACCAAAAATGGGAAAAACAAAAGTATTAATAAAAATCACAGTACAAATCAGAGTTATATAAGGAAAACAAAACCTCAATAAATATCTTAATTTTTTGGGTATCCTAAACCCAAAAACATTATCACATAGGCATAAAGTATTGCAAATTCAAAATAGTTTGTGCTATTTGATTTTGCAGATCTCTGTGGACAAAAAAATTGTTAACATCAATCTAGCACAATGAGTACTATTGTTTAACCTAAATTGAAAGTCATGGAGTGTGAATGCAACCTAAATTTTGGTGTTAATTCACTTATAGGTGGAACTTCCAGTACACCCTTAGGGAGAGGCAAAACTTTAAATTCAATTTTAAAATTATATATACAGGGGCGGATCTGGGAACCAACAAGGGGGGGGGGGGGCAAATTTGAGGTCAGTGAAAAAAAATTTTTGGCCCCTAAAACCCATAAGTGGGCCCATATTTTGAAATTTTGAGGCCCATTTTCTTCAAAATTTGGCCTGAAATGAAAAAAATAAGGCCTTACAAGGCCAAGTAATGACCAAAAGGCCCACTTTTTGGGGCCTTAAGGCCTTTTTGGCCTGAAATGAAAAAAATAAGGCCTTACAAGGCCAAAAGATTTTTAGGGCCCAATTTATTTCTGGGCCCATCCAAAGGGGGGGGGGGGGCTGGGCCCCCAGGCCAGTGATCTGCTCCAGATCCGCCAGTGATATACCCCTGGACGTCATAATACATCCAGATTGCTATGCAATTAAATTAGAGGATTCCTGACTGACAAGTTGATTGCTCTAATTCTAAGATTGAACAAAAATGGGTGTAAAATGTTGGTTGCTTTTGATATAATTGGGCTACAGAATAAAGTATAGTATATACAACATAAATAACATCTCACATAAAAAATACCATAAATCCATACACAAGTATCATAACAGCTATATCATTAAACGATGTGAGAGAGCACACATCATATTGCATGATGATGTTTTGTGGCTTCATTTCTAGTTACTCAATACACAGATAATGATTTATTTCATCTGAAGTATCCATAATATGGTGAACATAAATACAGGGCCAAAAATAAATCATCTCACTGACAATAATGCTGAAGATTAAGGTCAAAACAATAAAGCTTATAAATTATTCATGGATATGTTTGTCTTGAATATCTAAACCATCAAAATACCTATTTTATGTCTAACAATAAGCGATTAAATCAAAATAAATGTGAAACTTACTCAATAGCTGCTACATTCTGATGCACTGTAATAATTTTCTCATCTGAAAAGATAATGATAAGTTTATAACAAATAAATTAATTGGGTTCTGTGCTATTTATGGTACAATATTTATGGTTATATACTGTTCACTGATGCATTATAGGAGAAAATATATGATCTGTGAGAATAAATGATAGAAGTATAGCCTTGATACAGTGTAGGCGGGGATGAAAGTATTTTTTTGTCATTATCATGGTCATGGTCGATAGATTAAAATAAGCATAAATAAAGAATAAAGTTGACTAGTACATGTATTTGATGTAAACTGGAATTTTACATAGGAGATATACATACATATCCATCACTGATCTTATGTTATGTTATATTTATGTAAAGGAAACCAGGATGTATCTAATTTATAGTTCCCAATATAAAACATGTAAACAGATACTTTTTTTCATGTTGAAGGCTTACCAATCTCATGTAGAATCATAACAGGCAGTCGGGTCACTATAGCCCTTAGGTTTTGCAACATTTCCACGTCACCATCATAAACAGCTAATCCATCAATGTCCAATTCTTCTAATTCCCTTATCAATCTACTGAACACTTCATGTTCATCGCTTTTAAAGACATTGGGGACTATGGCCAATTTAGTAGGATCGTTTGCATGATTGAGTGGCTCTTCATTGGAAATTTTATATGTGTTTGTTGAAAATAATTTCCCACATGTTATTCTGTATTGGTATTCATCTTTCAATATCTGTAAGGAAAACATATTCATTAATGTGGACATTAATTGCCAGTTGGGAGGCAGTAATCCGTTAATGGATACTTTGAATATCCTTTGGGAGAAAAACAACCAACTATTAAACATTTGGTACTATTACTGACATTTTTACTCCTCAATCAAATGCAGCGTTAGGCTAGGTTGAATAAACAAAATGTTTGACTTCCCGTGTCAATTTTTCAAAATATTTTTTCAATTCAAGAATAATATTTTAGACTGGTGTCCCTTATTTAAGGTTTTCATTTACTAAAAATAGTCAAACTTTCACTGAAAAAGTCACCCTTAAAATCCAGCAATCTGTTGAGGTCCTCAGTAAAAGTCTCCAGGATTTTCATTTAATTGCCCAATGAATATGCAATGTATGTCTTTTACACTGGACAATGACGTTGGAAGTGAGGAATATTAATGTCAAACATTTCTCTTGATTTCTTGATCGAGAATTATGGGCAAAGTTTATACATGAATTTTGTACAAAATGAAAACATGGCCACATCTGAACCAAACAACAAACAAGTTAAGATTCATAAAAATAAAGATTTAACAAAAAACAAATATGCGTAACGTAGAATTCAATTACTGCAGCCTTCTGAGAATCAATATCAAAATAGCCTGATAGAATCACAATAATCTTTATAATTTAAACATTTCATTCTCCTATATTTTCTGATGAAATACTTATTATCATTTCTCAGGGACAAAAATATTTTCCAGGATTTATGTGTTTATCATGGAATGACCACATTAGAGAAAAACAATATTCCTCAAAGATGTTATCTTTTAATTTACTATTCTATGACTTTTAATTAACTCATATCCGTTCTTGATCTGATGATATCCAAGTGATGAAGTGGTGATATTAGAAAAACATTAAACAAGTCAAAACTAGAAACAAAGAACAAGTACAAAAAACTTCATCATCCGCTAACTAAACTGAAGCGCTAAAAATGAACAGGGCTACTCAAAGTTAATTCTCACACCAAAATTTCCCCCAAATATTCCCTAAATTAAACCAGAAGTTAAAATATGTTGCTAAGATTTTAACCAATTTGAATTTATCGTACATTCTGTATTATGTAAATGATGTCTGTTTGACTGTCTGTGATATATAATATACATATTACAAGGGTTGTTCAATAAATACTATAAATATCATGATGGATTGAAGGCAATATGTATGTCTTCATACTGACCAAATATTATGAATTCATTCTAGGTACTTTTAAAGTTACAGCAAATCTAATATACGAACGACCATTGTATATAATAAAGCACAAATGAGATATTCAATAATCTTAAGGAATATCAGAATATATCCCCAATATCCTAAATGATTAGTCTAAAAATCAAATAGCTCATCTTCCCCCATCATCAGAGAAGTCTTTCACCAAAACAGATTTCAATGAATTGAGAACCAACAACAATGAAAAATACACAACTTCCATCACCAGGTACTTGTGGAGTAAGGAGTGAGATAAGTATTAATAATCTTATAACATATATCCAATGGTGCATGAAGCTATAGTAAATAGATTGAAATATGGGTTTGACTTATCAGATCCATCTTATATATTATCCACAACTTTATAAGTAGACTGAGAAACCCCTCATATGCTGATATACGATTTAATAAAGATTCTTAGATTAAAAAAACTATAAATCCCGAGATAAATACAATAATGCAGTCTAGCATATAACGATGAAAGATACAATGTAATCAAAGTTGTTTTTATATTTACCTTTATATTAGCAGTGTATGTATGTTGTATTTTTCCATCTTGTAGTTCTTCAGTGGTGATGTTTGCATTTCCGATGCTTTTCACTGGTTCAACAACAGCGGTGCAGTTAGTCATATTTTGTGTGTACCATTTGATGACCAATGTATTTTTTGATTTAGGAAAACCAAGGTGTATAGCAAATGGTTTTGAATAACCATCCAGTTTTGTACCATGCGAATGTGTATCTTTATTTACTTCTTCTGATGCTGTGTCATCTGGGGAACCATCCTGCCAGCCAGTGTAGTTTGTAACATTGTCTTTGTTTATTTGTTTATCATGATTATTTGCAGTTGTGACATTTCCAATTGATTCATCGGCATCTATTACATTTGTTTGTAAGATGAAAGAGACAAAAAATGAAACTTTCAGTAATGCATACATGATCCTCCTTAAAACCATGTCTAAGTGTTGCGTAGCTGTTAACGGAGAGTCTGGGAATTAAGGAATGTTCCTATAGTTTTGTTTTACATAATAATCCCTTTTGGCCAATTTCTAGATTGGATCATGAAATTTCAATCAATCAGTCCACAATGGCATATTATGCCATCAATATTCGATCTATTTACAATAAATATCCATTTCATCAAGCAGATAGTCACATTGTGCTTCCTAACAATGGGTACCTAATTCAATAGTATTGGCGAAATGAGACTCTACGGTATTTGATAAACCGGATCGCGACTGTCAGGCCTTCTGTATCAATCACAAATAAATCTTCCGTACCTAATAGGGAGCCCACTTGACATAACAACTTATATTCATTATTTATACACAATGTTCCTGTCACCCCAGGGACCCTTGAACAGAACACAATCTCCATAAAACATCATCTCTACAAACAACCGAGGCAAAATGTCTCAGCAGTCGCACCTCTCCTATTATAATGGAAAGTATTTTTAGATACGTAGCAATTGACATGATCAAAAGAACACACTATGTTCCGTGACTAACAAACCAAGCTTATATCAATCAATATAATATCCCGGGGAGGATAAACATGAAATTCAAAATGTCAAATTTATTTTGAGGGTACGATTATTAGATTGGAAGGCTAGCAACTGCCCTCATATTAACTTCAATTGACAAAATCCATCCATTTCCTGTAAATTCATAGTCCTGCTTTATTAAGCCCTACAGATAAAATCAGACATTTAATACAATTTTTTAATAAAAAGGAAAAGTCATAAGGAATCAGTGTTTGTACGGATTTTACATTACTGGCATAGAGACGAATAACACTTTTAACAATAAAGAAATCAAAAATGAAATAATTATTTAAAGGCTGAAATAGCCAATATTAAACAGTTTTCAGAATGTAGCAGTATATGAAATTAATATCAATTCAATAGGGCCATGGTTATACACGTACTGATGAGTGAAAAAAACACCATATGAAATTCGCGGGAATTGCTGATGAGCGGGTAATATATATCTCCCGTACCTCAGTGGGATCATATATATCACCCGCTCACTTCAGATATCAATCATATTCCCACATGTTATCTCCCTATAACACTACTAAGTATGGGATAAATACAATGTCAGAAAAATATGTCTCAATCTTGCCATGTCCTCTGAATGTTATGCTACATTTGTTTTTCTGGCCTGATTTTAGTTATCTTGCTCTCCTGCTACAGGCCTGTCAACTGTCCCGCAAAAATATGAACGTCGGAAAAAAACCGAACGCAATTTGTTCGGATTTGTCACGCGAATCCCGTATATGTCACGCATGTCAATTGGAAATTTTCGTACCTACGCCCCCCCACCTGTTGATGAAATCGCGAGCGTTGCGAGCGCGAAAAATTTGAGGTGATCAAAGTTTGGCAAGGGTGCTCAAACTTTGGCCAAAGGTGTTTAAAAGTTGGCCAAAGGTGTTCAAAATTTGGACAAAAGTGTTCAGATTTGGACTTAGGTGTCCAACATTTGTAAGTCACTCATATTAGGTGGTCCCAAGTTGACAGCCCTGCTGCTATTCCTCACTATGTAAGCTAGTGATGTAAATTTCCACACTGATATCAATGCCTGTGACATATATAATATTCCTTAAAAATGAACTTCAATTATATACAGATTTTAGCTCATAATGTCAATTATATTTTAGTCTATCACATTACATGCTACAAAGCATCCCTGATGATGATGAACATCGTTGGATTCATTAGCAGGACAAAATGTGTCAAAACATTTTTTGTCACCAAGATCACTTAAATATGTAAACACAATTAAGTGTCAAATGGGGAAAGACCAATGTATATCTTGAAACACGTGCAGCAAGAAGAACTGTCAAAGAGCCCAACCTGCCATAAGAAAAACAGACCCCAATATCCAAAGTACACCCTCTCCCACCATTCAGGAATACTTCACAATCCAAAACTAGCCAAGACCATTGGACATCCCATTCACACTTAAGTCATTACAATGCATTTTGAAGGAAAAATTAAAACAAAATATTACCTATATTCTTGATAAACTGAATAATGCATGATAGCAGATAAAACATTAATGCATTTATTCAAACATATAAAAAGTATCATAATTCTGTTCGGCATACATTTTGGTATTGATAATGCAAATCATGTTTAATATTTCAAATAAATATGATTTATCGAAGTAAGCATAAATTTTATTTTACCCAAGACATGATAATTTATTGAGGTAAGCATAAATTTTATTTGACCCAAGACATGATAATTTATTGAAGTAAGCATAAATTTTACCCTACCGACATAATCATATCAAAACACTTAATTCCCGCTGGGATGCCATAAAGCTTTTAGTATTAAGGATTTGGAGAAATCAGATTACTATTACTTTACTAACACTACTTCTCATTTCCCTGCCACTCTGCCAATAAAATGTCCATTATCATGTTAAGAGTAAGCCAAACATTTCATACTATAATACTATTATCTCGTTAGTCCAGCTCTTTACTTTCTACTTTAACAGTTTGAGAGATCGTTTTACTAAAAAGCCCTTGTTTACCTTTGAATGTTTTTATATACTGTACTCCTATTTAATTTGCCAAATTGATAAACTCTGTCAAATCAAATAGCCACCAAATTCAATATTTCATTTTTCAATCATGGATTGTATATTTCAAATCTGCCAAATTAAGTACAGTAGAACCTGTGTAAGTGGAACACCCTCCGTTCTGCCAAAAAGCGTTCCACTTAGGAGGTGTTCCGCTTACGGAGGTTTTGGGTTCGCGGGGATTTCAAGAATATACAAGATAAAATATAGGATTTATATATATCACTGGAAACATGATTCTCCCCTGCATTGGAGTGCATCTATATACCATTAATAATCCATGTGTTTTACTTAAATAGGTATCTGACATTCATAATCTTACTCATTCTGCCAAAAATGTTTTCTGACATTCTAAATCCTCCTCATTCTGCCAGTCTCAGGTACAAAGATTTTTCAATTAAGTTTTAAAGACTTGTTCCAACTGCTAATAATACATTTGTTTTTAACCGACATTCTTAATCTTACTTATCAAGTTTAAAACAAACAGCAAGGGGTATCAATTAGTGATAGGATCACATGTCCATCTCTACAGGAGGTTAATCCAATTTTCTGAATGATAATCTTATGAAATGCTAATTTGCTGATTATCAAACTAATTAGTGGTTACGGTTGCATCACATGTTGACCTCTCCAGGAGATTAATCCAATTCGCTGAATTGTAATCCGTTCAAATTCTAATTTGTCATTATCACATTATAACCTGTTTTCATACCCATATATCACTGTAGGAGATTAATTCTGTTTAATACATGTGTCAATATTAAAGTTTATGGAAATTGACTGTTCCACTTAGCAGGTTAATTTTTCAATATGGGGTGTTCACTGTTCAAGTTTGGAGGTGTTCCACTTACAGAGGTTCAATTAACATTAAGTCAATAGGTTTTTAAAACGGGACTTTGAAATTCCACTTGCGAGGTGTTCCACTAACGGAGGTGTTCCACTTAGCAGGTTCTACTGTAGTTGTAAAATGTTCAAAACATCAAATCCACCAAAATAAGTAGCACCAACTTAAGTAGATGTAGAGTACATGTTTGGGCTACTATAGAAATCTTTCATATTTAATAGGAATTCTAAGTTTGGGAGATTGCCATTTTGCTATCAATGCCACAAATATTGTGCTATTGACTTCTTATTCCCTACAACATAACGGTTGTAGTAAATGTTTTGGTTGAATTAAAATCCTCCTTTTGAAGTGTCTCTTGGTTGCATTGGGAATGAATTTGTTTTGGTGATATTTGAAAATATGAATATAACATAAAATAATTTGGGATATTTGGGTTTGTTTATTGTCGCAGTTTGTTGTTTTTGATGCTCTATTTTTCTTGTTATGTTAATGTTTTCTTCCTTTAGGCCTTTCATATTTATGGACATACAATACTATTGTTAGGAGATATGGACAATGTCTGTTTTAATACAGTTGTTTTTTCCCTTTAGGCCTTTCATATTTATGGACATACAATACTATTGTTAGGAGATATGGACAATGTCTGTTTAGTACAGGTATTGTTTTCCTCCTTTAGGCCTTTCATATTTATGGACATACAATACTATTGTTAGGAGATATGGACAATGTCTGTTTAGTACAGGTATTGCTTTCTCCCTTTAGGCCTTTCATATTTATGGACATACTATGCTATTGTTAGGAGATATGGACAATATCTGTTTATTACAGGTATTGTTTTCTCCCTTTAGGCCTTTCATATTTATGAACATGCAATTCTATTGTAGGGAGATACGGACAATGTCTGTTTAGTACATGTCTTGTTTTCTCCCTTTAGGCATTGTGCTTTCATATTTATGGACATACAATTCTATTGTTAGGAGATATGGACAATGTCTGTTAAGTACATGAATTGTTTTCTCCCTTTAGGCCTTTCATATTTATGGACATACAATGCTATTGTTAGGAGATATGGACAATGTCTGTTTAGTACAGGTATTGTTTTCTCCCTTTAGGCCTTTCATATTTATGGACATACAATACTATTGTTAGGAGATATGGACAATGTCTGTTTTAGTACATGTATTGTTTTCTCCCTTTAGGCCTTTCATATTTATGGATATACAATACTATTGTTAGGAGATATGGACAATGTCTGTTAAAGTATATGTATTGTTTTCTCCCTTTAGGCCTTTCATATTTATGGGCATACAATACTATTGTTAGGAGATATGGACAATGTCTGTTTTAGTACATGTATTGCTTTCTCCCTTTAGGCCTTTCATATTCATGGACATACAATACTATTGTTAGGAGGCATAGACAATGTCTGTTTTAGTACATGTCTTGTTTTCTTTAGGCCTTTCATATTAATGGACATACAATACTACAGGGTGTCCCGAAAGTATGGGCCCCCCCCCTAGGCAGACATATACCAGTGTCGTCAGAGTATGTGTGATATATCATTTTAAAGCTTATCCAAAGTTACATTGATTTGCCAAGTATCATGGTTCAACTCTCAAATGTGAAAAAATTACAGGCATT